AAAAACCTAAGGGAATAATCTGATTTTGAAAGTATGTGCGTGTATATGTATGTCTATATATGAGCTATCTGAGAGTATAGTTAAAACATTTCTACCTAGATTCAGTTGTATGGAACACAGAAAATGAGACTGCAAATCACTAGGAATTATTTGTATCAAGCATTTGAGGCTAAATTCATAAGTTGAGAGCTTTATATAGTGTTCAGATAATTCCTTTATTGGTTATATTTCAGTAAATAGCTATTCAGAAAATTTTGAACTGCAGGCTACCCCTGGCAGTAATGTATCATAGCATCCTTTGTTGAATGTGTTAATATGTGACTTTGAATTTTGGGAATGAAGGGTGTGTTCAATTTGTTAACTGTGCATTCCGACCTTTTTTTTGGCTTGGTCTTTGGCATACAGTGGGGAGTAGGGGAGTGGTTGAGGGGAGGGATGCTGGAGAGAAAGAGAGGGAGAGGGAGGAGACAGAGATTTGCTTATTGACTGAGGGTCAGGAAGAGTCATGATCTATTCCATGGTGTTTAATATTTCTCTGTTGAGAATCTTTTAAAAAATTGACTGGAAATCAAGACTCTTTGTCTATAATTAATCTGTTGGCTGGGGCAGACTTCTAAAGTAAACATTTGTGTCTCTTGAACATTTTATTTACATAATGTGATTTTGGGCTGGAGCAATAGCACAGCAGGTAGGGTGTTTGCCTGGCATGTGGTCTATCCAGGTTTGATTCTTCTGTTCCTTTCGGAGAGCAAGCTACCAAGAGTATCCCACCCGCACAGCAGAGCCTGGCAAGCTCCCTGGGGCATTTTCAATATGCCAAAAACAGTAACAAATCTCACAATGGAGATGTTGCTGGTGCCTGCTCAAGCAAATCAATGAACAATGGGAGGACAGTGCTACAGGACAGTGCTGATGTGTTTTTATTTTATTTTATTTTTTCTTTTATTTCTTGAACAATATCTGGCAGTTCCCAGGGGCTACTTCTGGCTCCATGACTGACGGTCAATCCAAGTACTGCACAGGAAACCATAACAGGGTCTGGGAAAGAATCCCAGGCCTCTTGCAAGCAAAGCATGTGCTGTAGCCTTTTGAACTATCCCTCCATGCCCTTGAGAATTTTAAATTGAAGTCATTAAAAAAAGACACAGGAAGGGACATCATAGTAGTAAAAATTTAACCCACATTTGACTAGCAAATGATACAAAGAACAACAGATACACATGACTAGAATGAAAATGACTTCCTTTTTTGTCAGTAATATATTTACAAATAACCCATATGAAAATGTAAAAAAAGCGTATTACATCTTCACGTGCCATCTGTATTAACTGAATAAAACTTAGTGACATTATTTGCAAATTTGTAGTTAATTATACAGACATTTTGTGTGTTAAAAAAGAAATAAAATTTAAAATAAATTACAGTACAGAATTTATAAAGCAATATTAACAAAAACATCTTACACATATGTATCCTATTTAAACAAAATAAATATTTATGTAATTAAATTAATAAAAAACATCTATAGAATTAAAATTTATAGAAAGACATTGCAAATTTAATAAGGTTAGAGTTTGCAGTGATAAATTTTGATATCTTCAAATTGCTGTGCTAGAAATAGGCAGGAAAAGTACTCAAAAGATTAATTTTAATGTTCATTTTTAAAAAATAAATTCAGATTTCTGAAAAATAGTTGGGAAAAGTTTAATCAGAATTCAAAGTAGGTGATCTAGATACCATTGCTTGAAAAAAATCTACACGTAACAATGAGATTGACAGCCAATAATATTATGAATAAACGAGAGATTTTTGATTGGTAAAACTGTAAATAACAACAACTAAAAAATTTCATATACTGTTTAAAAATCTGATTTAGTAGAGGAAGCACAAAAATTAACTCCATTTATTATTTATTTTACTCAATCAATAATATAGATATAACCAGTCTTCCCCCGCCCACAGAATTATCATGTCATACTGCAAAACCTTTTATAAATTAATTCTTCAGTCTCAGATGCTCAAAGTCCTATTCTACATCATGGCTGTCTGACGATAGGACCAGGGCAAGCAGGTGATTGAGTTCTTACACCTAAATTATCTCAGAAAAATTCACTCTTGTAAGATTCTTCCAGATTTGTTTAGGGTCTCCCTACCTATCAACACTCTCATTCTTAGAGAAGAAATAGAACAAGAACTGTATTAAAGTTTGGTAGCACATTGCCAGATTGTGAGAACCCAGATCTCATTTTGAGAGCATGGCTTTTGCAAATCCAGTCAGACTCCCATTCAGCCTAAGAATGGGGACTTCTTTCTGGTGAATCAGATGCAAGATTGGGTGTGAATAAGGTGGAGACAGGCTGAGTAGGAGGAGAAAGTGAGTGTGGGAATTGGACATTTTATTTTAGAAATGATCTTTTTTTTTTGATGGGGAGGAACATATTTTCCATGTCTTTCCTTATCACTTCTTTGACTAGTACATTTTGTTTAAGATGCTCATCAATGATGCTTTGAATTCTATAGGAAGAGTAGTTAGATGTTCATTTAATTTCTTTGATTTTTAAAATCTTGGGCATGTTTAGTAGAAGGTAGTCCTGAGGGAAGTAAACAAGATTAATTGTGAAGGAAGAAAAAATATATAAAGAAGGCTCAAGGGACAAAGGAGTTTGTTAGAGGGTATAAAAATTTTGTAAGAGATGTTGTTTTCTTCCTCTGAGAAGCTCTAAATAAGGGACTTTTCCTTGAAATGCCAAGACACTTAGGAAGGATTTTATTGACTCAAAATGACCATTGCTACTGACCTGAGAATGAGAAAGAGTGTAATGAAAACATGGACCGAGAAAAGGAAAGATATGAATCACCCAGAAAATCAAATATAGAGTAGGTTACATGTCTATAAGCTATTGTCACTAGTTCAACATTCTCCTTTTCCTTGACTGTCTTAGGTACATATTTAAACAAAAGCCATTGCTAATTTTTCACAGAGACTACCAGAGTGTCTTATAATTTGTGCTTTGTTCTAAGTCATTATAAACTATATGCACTTTTCAAATAGCTTAAGCTATGCTCTAATGATCTTAGAATGACTTTGAAATCAAGATTATGATCAATATCCTAGATTAGGTATTGATGAGGGAGCAATTCAAAGCTTCTTAGGAGACATTAGTTATGCTATGCCTATGTGGTTACTATTGAAACAGTCTAACAACGTATCTTAATACAGTATCAATATTTTGTTTTTTAACATATAAACCAGAGCATAATGCTGAAAGAAAAATATCGTTTTTCTTTTGCTGTGCTGGGGATCAAACTGAGGGTCTCAAGAAGGCAAGGTCTGTGCTTTATCATTTAGCCACATCTGAACTTGCAAACAATTCTTAATCTTTGTGAACTCCCAGACCGTTTTATAAGGCAAAAGTGTCAATAGATAAGTTACTACTGTATTCCCCTTCAAAATTCTTAGAAAAGGAGGAATAAGGTTTTGATGAAATTCCAGGAAAGTATTTTACTCCTCATTGACTGATGCCAGGAACAAAAATAAGGCCATTTTCATGTTATGAACACTGATACAATAACCTTCATTTGACCAAAATAGCGAGTCAGCTAACTTCTCCTTCTTTCTCTGTTCTAACAAGAGGCTATTCAGTATTTAGGCTATTCAATATTTATTCTAGTAATTAACTTCTAATTTGTTCCCTAGTTTTTAGGTTAGATTGAACCTACACCATATAGGTAGTGCTGTAAAAGTAATCTGTTTGCAAGTAAAATCCTGCTTTTAATAACATTTAAAATTTTGACTTAAGTAATTCTTACATAGGTAAGAATTTCAATTCACCTAATGAATTAATGACAATGTACAGCATAAGCGTAACCTAAGTAGAAGTACTTTATTTTATTTAATAAATTCAAAGTTATTACGTGTTGCCCACATTTTATAAAGTAATTATCTGAATTCCTCAAATAACCTCACATAACTGCCATTCTCAACTATTTTGGACAAAATGAAGTTTCTTTTATTTAAAGAGATCAAATTGATGATTACCTAGGAGACCCCTGAGTTATAAATATTGACAATCACAGGTTCTTTTTAATATTATCTTGTCTTCTTTATCAATGACAGATGAAAAATAATTTATTTTTATGAATTTCCTTATCTAAATACTTGGTTTTAAGGTAAAATTCTTACTATTCTGATTGCTCACTGTAAAATGATTTAGATGGCCTAAAACAGTGAATACTGAATGAGTACTCAGTACTATATTTAATTGCTATTGAGATAAACTTATAAAAATCTGTTCACTTTTGATATAATGATATCCTAACATGTCCTTTGTAATCTTTGAAAATATTCTAGTGAACAGTAGGGGGAGTTCAAACACTAGTATTAAGTAAAACTACATATTTCAAACCACTGTTAGACCAACATAACTATGCTTAAGATTAAAATAGCTTGTTGCACTATTTTTTTTAAATAGCCTGAAAACCAAATATCTTCCCCTCTCCCAAATGCTATTGAAGTAAATGTTCCTTTTTTAATGGCAACTTAAAATTTTCTTTTCATACAAAAGTCAGCCAAGTTAGTTATTTTTTCACTGGGTCATTCCTAGTGCTACAACTGTGAAAAAATATATATAGCTACTTAAGCTATGGTGGCAATTTATTCTTATTTGCAGTGGTAGGGAATTGAACCCAGAGCTTCAAACATGCAAGGCTGGGGCTTTCGCGCTGAGCTATGTCCCTAATCTCAGTACAGTGATAAATGAAGGATTACTTTTTAATCTTTAAATACTGATCACAGTGTAAGGACAAATGAAGGAAAACTAAAGAGGATATTATGGAGAGTTAGCAGTGAAAAAACTAGACCACTGGTCAGTCAATTCTGCCCGGCAAATGCTGCCTGCTGGCTACATATATATATATATATATATATATATATATATATATATATATATAAATACTGAATGCAGTTCTGGGGATCCAACCAGAGCCTCACACATGCAAGCTAAGTGCTCTACTGCTGTGCTACATCCCTTCCCCTGACTTTTTTTTGAACTCTTGAAGATTTTTGGAAAGCAGTCATGCTCCTTCTTTTATGTGTTGTGTTTTGTCTATGGTGGTGCTGCTACAAACAGCAGAATCGAGAAGCACAAACCTGTCTGAAATAGTTCTTATCTGGCCTTTTTTTTCTTTTTTACAGAAAACATTTGACATCCTTGGTCTAGATGTTTAATGTAGTCTTAGACAACTTTTTTTTTCTTTTTAGATTTTCAGTGTTTTAAATAATTCATGAAAAACACTGCTTTATATTTTACTGATGAAAGAAACTAAACTATATATCTTGAAATATGTTTGAACAGGATCTAATGAAAACAAATCAGGGAGGAGGAAAATCAACATACAATTCTGATTTCTTTTAGTTACAAAAATCACTACAGTATTTTCTCCTTCTGCTCAATTAAAAAGACAATCAGCTTTTTTCCTTTTCTTTTTTCTTTTCTTTTCTTTTTTATAACAAAGATAACAAATATAAAAATCTAGTCATAAACAGCCTTCAAAGTACAATAAAACCAACCAGAGGAATCCACATATTGGAGGGTTAATGAGTTCTGGACTTATACACTTGAATTACTGCCGTGTTGTTGATTTCATATGCTTGCAGTGGTGAAGTGTCTACAGCAGATAAATAGCTAAATCCATCCTGCTGTCGAACTTTACTCTCTTCAGGATACAAAAACTTTTAAGTGTCTCCATGACATTCTGAGCACAGATGTTTTCATACCATATGAAAAGAGGCAGTTTCTATGGCAATACTGGTTAAGTGCCTATCATGCTGCACTAATATAGTGCAAAAATGTGCCTTCCATATAGCAAAAAAAAAAAAAAAATACAGGCAACCAGTTTGAAAATTAGGGAAAGAGGAAACATATTAACACAAGCAAATTAGTTTTCCAGACAATAATCACTATAAAATATTGAATTAAGGACTCTTCTAAGATACTAGTACATGTCCAGCATTCGTAATTTGGAGAGATAAGAATCAAGTCGTAAGAAAAAGAGTCCCTGCCGCTGAAAAGCAGGTCATAAAAGCTACCATCCACTGCCTAGATGTTGAATTTGCTCACTGAGTTTTCTTTTCAGTTGAGAGCTTATTTCTTAAGATTAATCATTAACACGCACATAATGTGTTTTATTCAACTGAGTATACATGTTGTTGTGTTTGAATATAGTATTGTAGAGATCTTGGTTTAAACAGGTCATGCTAACATGTTAACTATCGCTTAATATCACAGACAGAGGCTTGTTTCAGGCATCCTGACTGGCCAATTCCAACACTATATTTCTAGAGAACAAGGTGAATTGTCAGTTGGTAAATACCAGAAAAGATGATAAAATTCACATAATGCAGCATATATTCAACTAAATCTGTAATTCCCAGGGCTGATGGACTCTATGGAAGTGGTACTGTCTTGAAATCTTGAATGGCACTGTGATTTTCACTCCATATGATGATCTTTTAAAAAGTTAAGCTTTATTTTAATCCACACAGTTTGGAAAGCTTTGTGGCCTCCGAATATCTACTGCACCGTCTGAAAACTGAAACTGGTTGTTGACAGGATAATTAATATTTTACATGTCTGCATCTCCATCATAGGCTAATGTTAAAGGTTTCAGCCGGTTGTTTTGCCTTCTTTGAGGTTTCTTTGGCTTTTTGCTATAAAACATTAATAAAATGAGAACAAAGAAAATCAGTCTTTCATTGTAAATTTCATTTTTTATATAAAAAATTAAAACATATTGATCTAACTTGCCTAATTCCCTACAGAACCTAAATTCAATAAACTGGAAAGAGAGCTCTTAAAATATTTTACTACTCTATAAATGTAAATTGGAATTTACCTAATACTAACCCAAATGAAATTTCTCTAATATGATGGAAAACATACCATAATCATTTATATTTGACTGGAAGCTACTATAAGTAATCCATTAATTTGCAAGTGTGCATTTTAAAGAAGAATGTAAACATATTAGGTATTACCATAACACCTTTCTCTAGTAATTCAATATAAAAATCTGCTACTGACCACTAACATACAAATAAATATACTATTGCATAACCCAGAACATAAAGCAGAAGATGAACTGGAACTGCTCTGGCTCAACTACAGAAATTAAAGGGTTCCAGTTTGTTGGGCCTTAGACTAAGACTAAATTGATATTTCTTTAGGGCTTTAGATGAACTTGCAATAAGCACAATATATATTTTTGAGATAATCAGATTCTTTTTCCTGAGTTATGGTCCTTGAAAATTCTTCCTGGGAAACAGAAAACTTATATATCCCCTTAGACTTTGAAATATTTAAACACTCACCAAGCTAGATAAATCATGGAGACAACAAAGATGAGTAACACAAATGCCCCAGCTGCTACACCGTAAACCCAGGTCTTTAGTTTCCCATCTAAGAAGAATGGATATTAGTCGTTAATTTATATTAGTCTGGTATACATGTGACACTATTTAACTATGACCAATGGCCAAAGTCATATATAACAAAATCCTTTCAAACCTCAAAATGAATTATTGCTTAGGCATAGTTAATGATTAATGCAAAGCTGCTGCTGTATGTTAGAAGATGCTTCATGAAAGCTATCTTTACAACTTGAGTTCAACTTTCAATTTAGAATTCCTAAATTTCTATTTTTTTGAGTCCAACTTTCAATCCAGTATCTGAAATTCTACATGAATATTTTCTTTCCATTTTGAGAAAGGCCATTCTAAGAAGAAAAATAATTTAACTTCAGGTTATCCTATAAGGAACAATTGATGTAGACCAGTATTTACACATAAATTTCATTATTTTAACATGTTTCCTAATAGTGACTACATTTAACATTTTAGAATTAAATTAACTTGCATGTTTTAAAATTTATCCAACAATATCATTTGCAAAAAATGCAAATTTTATTAACATACAAGAGGATTTCTAAATTTAAAAAATCTACAGTGGGTAATCAGACATTGTGGACTTTTGTAAATTGCTTTTCTCATCTCTTTTTAACTTCTCAGTTGTATGTTTTGAATAAACTTAACAGAAGATATTATTAATGACTTTGTCTAAAGTTTGTTTATCATATCAACATATTTTATGACACATATATACAAATAATTACATGATTGTTAAAATGATAGATTTGGCACATTGACCTCACTGGGCTTGAAAGATATCAAAAGCAAATCAGTACTATGCAGAATTTTCTTTGTTTCCTAGAGCTAGATATATTCAGAGGTTCAATTTTCATTTTCTGGAAATAAATTAAGTGAATATACTAAATATCCTATTTTTCACTTCTAAATAATTATAAAATATGAGGTTTGTTCAAAATCAAAACAATTGTTCTACTCTTGGGTTTTCTTTCCTAAATGTCTTTTAGCAATTTTTTCCCCAAAACTAAGAAGACAGATTTAAAAATATATGCTTGGTCCAATGTACCATTTAAATATCTACTTTAGGTAAACTATATATAGTAAATTAAAATGAAAATATATCTTGTAAAACCAGGTCTTCTTGTGTTCTGATCAAGATTAATATTGCTACTATCATTTTCTGGTCCACTGTCTTGATTACTGGCAAAGTTTCCCACACTTCCCACACAGACAAATCAGTTTTGATAAATAAATTGTATTTTCAGCTGAAAACCCAATCAAGGCAAGAATAAGGTGGTTAAATATGAATAGCCCAAAATACTGAAAATAATTTTTAATTAAAAAATCTTGAGTAAATCCTTGATAAAGGCAAAATGTTCAACATAAGATATTAAAAATAAAGATGTACTCGCTATACAAATTTCTTCTTTTCCTCATGTTTTTAGTGGAGTTATAAAGAATTTTGGGGTTTGGAGGGACAGTACAGTGGGTAAGGTGTTTGTCTTGCACAATGCTGACCAGGTTCAATCTCTGGTGAACCCCAAGCACCTCCAGGAGTAATTCCAATTCCTGAATGCAGAGTCAGGAATAACCCCTGAGCATCACTGGGTATGACCCAAAAAGCAGAAAAAAAGAAAAAGCAGTTTGACCTTATCTGGAGATTATCTTGATTATGATACACATGTGAGATCATATGATATGCTCTTAGTAGCTTATACCATTTTATCAAGCTGGAAGCCTTTGTTTATATAAGCTTCAAGTCCATTACCAGACATATTAACAGCTGTCTATAATAAATATTGTAAGGGTCTGAATCACTTTCAGGTTTAGTTTTCCCATCCAGACAAGAGGCCTCTATACCTGCTCCTGTATAACTGTGCTAATATAGATCACTGAGTATTACTCTAGAGGTGATTACTCTAAAGGGTGACTTAAATTGTCTAATAAGCAAGTGCCAAGTTACTACCATCAGTGATAAAATGATAAATTCTCAAGTGTTTCTCCAGTTTGACTTGCACCATTTTTCAATGACATCATGCTTTTCCTTTTAATTCTTATTTTCATTTTTAGCTTTCTTTGTTCAATGCAAAAAATACAACTAAATTTAAAACTGAGACTGAAGTATTATCTATATTTTTTAATCTCAGAAATAATTTTATTTCATTTTAATTTTTTTCCTTCAAGTAATTATTTTATCTCAAAAGAGTAAAAAGTGCAAAAAATTTGGCAGTATAAGAATCAATAATTACAGATTAAACAAGATTTCATAGGAAGATACTTGCTTAATTGTAATCATCTGGCATTGGTTAAATATATAACTAAAGAATGCGACATCAGTGCTGTTTGTGACTGGTCATTTCACCTGCTCCAAAGGGCTGTAGAAACCAGGTCCTTCCCCGTCCTGCCGGGTTACTGGAGGATTGGGTTGGATGTACTGCCCGACTGGTTTTCACATCTCCTCTTTTGTCCTCTATGGTGGGTATCACTACCACAGGGATAAGAGTGCACTGCTCCAGTGTTCCGTTAGAAGACATGACTTCAGTATACCCTTCTTCACAACTGCATGTCCTCGCCTGCAGGATAGCAAGATTTATACTGTGCACACAAAGAGATCTTCAAAAACACGAAAGACTTAAATTGAAGTGCAGGCTCTTAAGAAGAGGCATTTGGGAGAAACTTCTGGTATAGAATTGGCATCTTAACTACATAAAACTGGAACACACTTTATGTATTGCAACAAACTTACTTTTAATAGGAGCAAGAATATTCAGTCTTTAAAAAATATTTCTAAAGGATCTAAAGGAAGAATTTTATGCCTTAAGAGATGCTTTTTTGGGAATGGGACGGGGATGGATTGCATAAGAGGCATAGGGCTAAAAATGATGAAGTTGGTTTGTCTATCCTAATGAAGTCACACTTACCTCGCTACAGTGTGAGTGGGGTTGGCTACACGGTGGGTTACAAGACCTATCGGCATCAGGCTGGCGTACCACCAAGCAACCCCCTGCAGAATAGAAAATCATATTTTAACCAGTAGCACCTCTTGTAATGATAAATACACACTATGGTTATAGAGTAGTCTTTTAATCATGAATTCAACTGTTGGGTTTAGGAATACCACATATTTTTCTGAAAGCAGTTGACTGTGAAGTATTTGGTTAATTTTAACCACTTTATTTATTCAGAGGAAACAGTCCAGTATCTAAATTTAGTAGTGTTCAGTTTCTTTATCTGCTACATAAAAACACTACTTGCACAAAAGTTTTAACTATTAATGAGGCAAAGTTTAAGGTTAAAAGACAGTTCAAAAGAACAACTTTAATTTTTGGATTTTTATAGTCTTCTGTCTTTTTCCCTGTGATATCATCTCAGATTTATAACTATTACATAAAAAAGGAACATTTTTTTAAATGGCACTATTTCTACTGATTAAAAATTTGGAGGGTATAGGAAGCTATTCAGTGGTGTGTTGGCATATTGTTTTGATATTGTAGTTCTCTATCACTGTCACTGTCACTGTCCTCCCGTTGTTCATTGATTTGCTTGAGCGGTCCCAGTAACGTCTCCATTGTGAAAATTGTCACTGTGCTTGGCATATTGAATACATCACGGGTAGCTAGTTCTCTATCAATCGTCCTTACTAAGTATGGTATTAAGTGTGCCTATGTAGTTATATGTGAAGGCTTAAGACAGGAAGAAATATAAAGAAACTATTCTTTCTTTGACTATATAGAAATAACTTATAGTTTCAAACCATACTGTACACTTTTATTAAAGTAATTCTTATATGAAATTGTAATCCTCTGGAACTTAAAGGAGCATAATTTTGCCTTCTCTCTCAATATTGTATTTTAAAAAAATCATAGAAAAATTGTGACAGAAAAGTTGTCAGTCCCTTGCCACAGAGACAGGGGGGGATGGGGGGATGGGGGTGGGGGGATATTATCCATGGTGGTGGAAAATGGCCACTGGTGGAGGGATGGGTATCTGATCATTGTATAATCGAAACCCAAGCACAAAAAATTGTAAATCTACAACTGTAAAAAATAAATAAATAAATAAATAAAGGGAAAAAATAAATTAAAAAAAAAAGTTGTCAGTCCTTGTGAGAACTTTACAGCTAAATGGCCACAGATGAAGTTGCATATGAAAGGGAAGGCAATTAGCCTCCTCACTTGACCCACATAACCCGGTTCAGGACACAGAGGCAAGCTCAGCAGCAGCTAGAGTTGGGGGCCAGGTTAGTACTCAGAGTTGCCATTTTGTTGTCCCCCACTCCCTCATGATTATCTCTGCCTTCAAAGAGGAAAAGGAAGTGGGGGAGGCTATTACCTGCCATATTTGGGGCATGCCCAGCCTAGGCCCGGAGCCAGTAAGAGCAGTTACCAGGGTCAGCTTGGTACTGAGGGCCTCCATCTTACCCTGCAGGTCAGAATTATCCCTGCTCACTAAATGGAAAATAAAGTGGAAGGCCACTCCAGATTGGCCCTTCCCATCCCTGGTACAGGACACCTGAGGTAAGCCCAGTAGCACTAGCTGTCAGAGGCAGCTTGGTACTTGGGTTCAGCATCTTGCCCTTCCAAGCCAGGATTATGACTGTGGCAGTAGAGGGCAGCTAGCAACCCTGATTTGGCCTTGGCCAATAGTTAGACCCTGTGCAGTATACTGAAGCAAGACCAATACCAGCCTTGGTTCAGGACACTGAGGGAATCCCGGAGAAGCATAAGAGTCTGGCTTGGTTTTCAAAGTCGCCATCTTGTTGTCACGAGATCAGAATTAATCTGGTCCACAAAGTATAAAAGGAAGTGTAAGGCTACTGGCACCTCAGTTTGGCCCTGCCCAACCCCAATTCTGGACACGGAAGCAAACTCAATAGTAGCTGGTATCAAGAACCAACTTGGTATTCAGGTTCACCATCTTGTACTCAGAGGTGAGTATTGTCCCTTCCCATGAAGTAGAAAAGGGAGGGGAAGGAAACTGCCCACCTCTTCTTGGCCATGCCTAGCCTGGGTTCAGGACACTAACATAAACTGAGTAGAAACAGGTATTGGGAGCCATGTGGTACTCAGGGTCTCCATCTTGGTCTTCCTTAGCACTCCCCTTCCCCAGGTCAGTATTATCCCTGCCCATAATGTAGAAAAGGAACGAGGAGGCCACTATCCATCCTGCCTTCACCCTGCACAGCCCTGGTCCAGAAATAGAAGGCTAGCTCAGTAGCAGCAGGCTCAGTACTCAGTGTTGACATCTTAACCCCACCCCCTAGGTCAGGAGTATCTTTTCCTACAGAGTGGAAAAGAAAGGGAAAGGCTACTGACCATCGTGGCTTTGTTCTACTCAGCCCCTTTCCAGGACACTGAGACAAGCCCAGTAGCAACTAGCATCAGGGCAGGCTTGGTACTTAGGTCTGCTGTTTTGGCCCCACACAGTTCACGTCCAGGAAAGGGAGGAGAGTCCAGCATCAGCTGGAGTCAGGGGCCAGGCTGGTACTTGGGATCACTGTCTCTGCCCCCAGGTCAGGAATATCCCTGCTTTCGAAGTGGAAAAGAAAGGGAAAGGCCACTCCAGACTGGCCTGTCTTGGTTTACGAGAATGAGGCGAGTCCAGTGGCAGCCAATATCGGAATCACTTGGTACTCAGGGTCGGCATCTTGCCCCAAACAGCACGGATTATTCCTAAATGGGAAGTGGAAAAGCTAAGGGTAAAAATTACTAGCCACCGGCTCTTGGCCATGCCAATCTTAGGTCCAGGATACCGAGGTGAACCAAGTAGCAACTGGCGTTAGAGGCCAGTTTGGAACTCAGGGTCACCAGCTTGCTGCCCACCCATCCACCCCTTATACGTAGTCAGGATTATCCAGGTCAGTGAATTAGAAAAGGAAGTTCAGGTCTAGTAGCCATCCCAGCTTGGCCCTGCCCAACCAATGTACAGGACACTGAGGTGAGCTCTATAGCAGCCAGCTTTGGAGTAAATATAGTCTAATATATATAATATAGTACTTGCCAGAGAGTTAAGCAAGAAAAGGAGAACAAGAACATCCTAATTAAAAAAAAAGTCAGGCTCTTACTATTGCAGATGACATAATACTATATTTAGAAAATCCTAGGCACTCCATAAAAAAGAGTCTTACTCTTCTCACTCCTAGAATAAATGGATTTGTATAGTAAAGTGGCAGGCTATAAAATTTATATGCAAAATCCATGGAGTTCCTATATACAAACAACTAAAGAGAAGGTATTAATCACATTCACAATAGTGCCTCTAAATCAAGTACTTCTGAATCAGCTTAACTAAAGTGGTAAAATACCTATACAAAGAAAACTACAAACTGCTACTTCAAGAAATAAGAGAGGACATAAGTAAATGTAAACACAACTCTTGCTCATGAATTAGGAGGATTAATATCATTAAAATGGTAAGACTCCGTTTGGAGGATCCTCCCAGGAGGGGAGATGCATGTTGAAAGTAGACTATGGACTGAACATGTTTGCCACTCAATGCCTGTTTTGCAGACCACAGCACCCAGGGGGAGAGAGAGAATAGAAGGAAATGCCCTGCCACAGAGGCAGGGTGGGATGGGGGTGGTGGGGGTGGGAGGGATATTATCCATGGTGGTGGAAAATGGGCAATGATGGAGGGATGGGTATTTGATCACCGTATAATCGAAACCCAAGCACGAAAAATTGTAAATTTACACCTGTACCTCATGGTGTTTCACTAATAAAAAGAAAAACAATGGAAACACTCCACAAAGCATTATACAGATTCAATGTAGTTCCTATAAGGATACTCATATCACCTTTCAAAGAAATAGATCAAATACTCTTGAAGTTCATATGGAGCAATAAACACCCCCTGAGTAGTTAAAGCTATCCTTGGAAAAATGAAGATAAGAGGAATCACCGTTCCCTACTTCAAACTGTGCTACAAAGTGGTAGTAATTGAAATAGCATGGTATTGTAATAAAGACAGACCCTCAGATCAATGAAATAGAGTTGAATATCCTGAGATAGACCCTCAGATACCTGATCAGTTAATCTTCAATAAAGGAGCAAAAAACATGAAGTGGAGCAAGAAGAGCCTCTTCAACTTGTGGTGCTGGGAAAACTCGTGAGCTACATGCAAAACAAACAACCCCCTGCCTCCCAAGCCTCAGACCTTTTTCTAATGCCGTGCACAAAAGTTAAGTCAAAGACCTCAGTATTAGACCTGAATCCATTAGGTACAGAGAAAGAAAATGTAGGTAGAACCCTCTATGATGCTGAAGCTAAAGTCATCTTCAAGGATAAAACACCACTGACCAAGCAAGTCACTGTCACTCTCCTCCCATTGTTCACAATTTTGCTTGAGCAGGCCCAGTAACGTCTCCATTTTGAGACTTGTTCTTACTGTGTTTCGCATATTGAATACCTCATGGGTAGCCTGCCAGGCTTTGCCTCGCAGGCGAGATACTCTTGGTAGCTTGCCGGGCTCTTGGAGAGAGGTGGAGGAATCCAACCCAGCTTGCCTGGGCTGGCTGCATGCAAGGCAAACGTTCTACGGCTGTGTTATTGCTCCAGCCCTGACCAAGCAAGTAAAAATAAACAAATGGAATTATATTAAACTAAGAAGCTTTTGCTCCTCAAAGGAAAAAAAAAGGACCATGATACAAAGACAGCCCATGGAATGGGGGAAATCATTTACCCAACACCCATCTGACCATCTGATAAGGAATTAATATAAAAGATGTACAAGGAATTGGTAGAATATTATAAGAAAAAATCCAACCCCTTCAAAAAATGGAGGCAAAGAAATGAACAGAAACTTTCTCAATGAAGGAATACAAATGACCAAATGACACATGAAAAATGCTCTACATCATTAATCATCAGGGAGATTCAAATCAAAACAACAATGTGATATAATGTCATGCAACAGAGACTGGCACACATCAAAAAGAACAAGAATCACCAGAAGTACTGGTGAAGATGTGGGGAGAAAGGGACTTTCATTCATTGTTGATGGAAATGTTTTTTACCATGAACCTTTTTGGAAAACAATATGGATGTTCTTCAAAAACTGGATATTGATCTTCCACATGACTCAGCAATATCAACCCCAAACCATAATGCAGAATGACCATCTGCACTTGTATGATCATTGTAGCACTATTAACAAGACAGAATCTGAAAACAACCCACATGCCCAAGAACAGGTGAGTGCATAAAGAAAGTCTGGTATATCTACAAAAGAAATAGTATGTAGCCATTAAGAAAAATGAAACCATGAAATTTGCTTATACCTAGATGGTCTTGGAAAATATCCTGCTGAGTGCAATGAGGGGGGAAAGACATAGAATGTACTCAATTGTGGGATATAAAAAATATATGAATACTCAAAGACAATAGGAATGTCACTGGAATGCCAAGGAAGATGGATCTATGGTAGGAAACGTGCCATAAGTTGGGTGGGGGAGTGCAGTTAGGACAGAGAAGGGACCACTATGGCAATGATAATTGTAATGATCATTTTGAGCAAGAACTGAGTGCTGAAAGGAGGTAAAGTAGTATATATATACATATATATGTATGTATGTATGATGACCTTTCAGTAACTTTATTGCAAAACACAGTGCCTGAAACGAGGAGGGGATAGGGATAGGGAGAGAGAGAGGGAGGGGGAGTCAACGAGCAAGAGAGAGAGTGAAAGAGAGAGAGAGAAAAGTGTCTGTGATAGAGGCAGGCTGGTGAGGAAACTGGGGACACTGATGGTAGGAAATGTACACTGCTAAAGGGATGGTTGTTGGAACATTTCAGGACTGAAACCTAATTATTAACAATTTTGCAACTTTGTAGTGTGTATTTCCTGGTAATTGAATTTAAAAAAACCTCATCTTGCCTAATACTTGGAGAAATAATGCCTATAGAGTATATCACAAGTAGTTTGCACACTATCATTTTGGTGTTGAATAGTGTTAGAAAGATATATACAGACACTGTATTGAAACGAAATGGAAAGTATAATTTTTACAAGTAAGCTTTTAAATGTTTGACCTTCCTTTTTATTGGAAAATAGCCCCCATAGCAATGGTAAAAAAACTTCAACATGTAGAGGGAAAAGCAGAAAAGTATTACTTGCATTCCATATTTGGGAAACAAAATTAAAACCTTTCATAAATAAATAGGATTGCTGAAGAAGCTGTAATAGTCCCCCTGAATAGATGAAAAAATATAAACAATCATCTCTAGCACAGACACAGAGTGTATTGCTTATATAATACCTTCTGGTTCATAACATCAGGTTTTCCCTGTGCAAACCTTTTTTTGCTCCCCACCTCCTTACAGGGAAGTTGTGACAGATTTTTTCTTCCAAATGACTGTGTGAGAACAAAGGACTTACTGGTAGTTTTCAATTATGTTATATATGTATCCAGTTACCTGCCCACATGGCAGAGTCTGGCAAACTCCCCGTGGTGTACCCAATATGCCAAATACCAGTAACAATGAAGGGTCTCATTTTCCTAACTCTGAAAGAGCCTTGAATATGGCACTTTTTCTAAAAGTCTCAGGGCTAGGACGAAGGAGACGTTACTGGGGCCTGCTCGAGGCAATCGATGAATAACAGGATGGTTGTGATTGTGATTGTGATGTATCCAGTGGCAGTTGCTATTATAAAGGTTTTTTTTTTGATACAGATGTCTCATGTAGTAGGTCTTCATGAGAATTCAATTTGGTACCTTGTTTTAACTTTCACAGGAAGGAAATATATAATTAGGTTTCAATAAATCCAGAAATTTCAAATTCAATATAAAAATACCACTCATCAAGAAAGCATATTGATCCCTACTCCTGTTATTTTATTGTGCATATCAACGTTTAATTTGATGAAAATGAATGAACATTACTCAGAAATATCCAAATGAACATTACTTTTTCACCCCATAGGAGTGTCAAAACAATGGTAGTCAGACTCTACCTAGGTCTCCCTAAAGAGTTAACTACCACTAGTAATAAAGCTATTATGGGTATTATTGTTATTCAGACCTACACAAATCAATTTTTCAAGGAGATATTTAAAGTTTTGAGTTCATGAGCTTAAGGTTGATATTCTGTATTTGAATGTAGTTTCATTCTGGGAAAATTTCAGGGTGCCAATTTTCTTCCACTTACAAAAGGATTTAGAGACCCCTTCCATACTGGGCTTATACAAAGAAAGTCTCCGATAATTTACTAGAGTTAGACCAAAATATATTAAAATAGATCCTACCAGCAATATCTAAAATTGATGAGGGGAAATTTGAAAAATGAGTAAAATAATTTGCTGTTGGTTGATAGACAGGTGAACAGCTCAGGTTTCATAATTTCCAACTGTGTATTGAATAGAGAATGAATATATTTTTCCTTAAATATTTTCTTTATCTAACTGCATTTGCATTATAGGTAGTCTTGTAAAGAAAAAGGTGAAATTAGAAATTACCTGTCACATTCACACCATCTGACCTTTGACACCAGACTGTTCGGGAAGAGCCTTTCCAAGCACTCGCCATCCACTTATACTCATAACACTGTCCATCTGCAGGGATGGAAGAAAAATCAACAGATTCATTCTGTTTCATTCTGAGAGCAAGCAGAGGTATGGATGATTAACAAAATAGTTAATTTTTTTTATTATATTCTATTAATTTTTGTTTTTTGTCACACTAGGTGACACTCAGAGTCTACTTGTGGTTCTACTCAGGGGTGACACTTAGAGGAACTTAGGAGACCACGTGGTTCTGGGGATCAAACCCAGGCCTCCTGATGGCCAAAACATACACCCCACTCTATTGAAATAATCTTCAGTCCCTGAAGATTAAAAAAAATTTAATGTTTTAAAATAAAAAATATTTTAAAAGAATTAAGAAATGCCAAGAAGTCTATTCCAAATAACTCAAACATCAATTTGAAGTTGCCAGACAGATACTACAAAGTTCCAAATACACATTTAAATCCCAACTGATTTTCCACGTCTGCTCTCATTCTATATGATGTAAACCTGAATTTATTTTTTTTTTGTTGTTAAAGTATTATGAAATGTTAGACACACAGACAAGGATAGAGAAGAGAATAACTTAAAAAAAACTTTTAATTGCCTATTACACAATTTAATTTAGATAATTTTTTGTTTGGTTTTGGGCCACAACAAGTAGTCCTTAGGGCTTATTCCTTGCTCTGTTCTCAGGGATAACTCCTGGCCATGCGTCAGACATTATGTGCAGGGTAACAAGAATCAAACCCAAGTTGGCAGTGTGCAAGCAAATGCTCACTGCACTATCTCTTTGGCCCTTCATCATCACATATTTTTTAACATATATAATGCTGTGCGATATTATTTTGGTCTTGTTAATGAGCAAAAAATGACAGAAAAAGAAACTTGATGTCCTACATTTTTCTATGGTGTGTTTCTTAATTTTCCAACAATAGTTACTATTAGGAATCTGCCTACCAGCAGTTAATTAAGGTTGCCACTAACCAAAATGTCAAAAATATTTGAAATTGTCAAATGATATATTTTGGCCATTCTTTTAATTTTTGTCATTCTTATTTAGGTAAAGTTACCACATCATTTTCTTTGTTTTTTTGGGCCACACCAGGAGTGCTGAGGGTTTAGGTTGATCCTGTGCTCAGAGAATCAGTCCTTGTGGTACTCAGGGGAGCATATGTGCTGGGTATTGTACTCATATCAATAGTATGCAAGGCAACTGCCCTACCCACTGTACTATCTCTCCATCCCTCTAATTACCAAAGCTATTAATTAGCAACCAGTACTTTGGGGGGGATTTAGATTTCTTTTCATCAAACTTCTTATTTATATGAATTTTATTTTTATTTATGTTTTTGCTATTTCTTTTGAACCATGGGGTTCTTACAAACTTCCTTTTTTCCTCAACTTTCTCTTTTCCAATTAAGAAAGATAAATTTATTTCAGTATTTATTGTAAAAAAGGTTTGGTGGTAGTAAACTATCTTCATTTTTTGTTTTTCTGGGAATTCCTTTATTCCCCTTCCTATATCTGAAGAAGATTTGCAGGTTGATTCTTTTCTGAGAGGTATTATTTTGGGTGACTTAAATCCACACTTGGCAGTACTCAGGACTTTCTTCTGGCTTTGTGCTCAGGCAGGGATCACTCCTGGAGGTGCTCAGGGGACTGTAAAAGGTGTTGGTATTAAACTTGGGTTGGCAAAGTGCAGTACATGTACCTAAATTCCTGTACTAGTTCTGTGAGTTTTTATCTTTGTGTATTTAAACTACATTTTAACTGAACAAACACTATAACATTATAACATTACATGGATTTTAGGTATGCATTACTGCAAATCATCAGCTGTGTATATCAGCAGTTATCAATCACCAATCTGTGGACTGGTGCCTGCCCACACACATAAACATGCAAATAGGCTGAAATCACTGGTCCACAGTCTACAAAGTTGAAAGTCCTGTTACTATTATACTATATTAAGTTCATCACAAAAAGTCTAATCTTGGGGGCTGGAACAATAGCACAGAAGGTAGGGTGTTTGCCTTGCACACAGCTGACCAGGGTTCGATTCCCAGCATCCCATGTGGTCCCCCAGCACCACCACAAGTAATTCCTGAGTGCATGAGCCAGGAATAACCCTTGTGCAATTCTGGGTGTGACCCAAAGAGCAAAAAAAAAAAAGAAAAAAAGTCCAATCTCACTCTTCATCATACATCATCAGGTAAACACCTCTTTTTCCCTCTTTATTTTTGGTAATAGTTATTTTATTTCATAGTCTAATAGTTTGTTTTCTTTTGGATCTTTATGTACCACATACAAAGGAATTCATGTGTGCCCAGGAGGCTGGCAATTCAATGCAATTGCCCTGTGTGCAATACTGCTCAGGCTTTAGGTATGAAGTATTACCTTGGCTACCCTGTGGTGCTTGGGGACCTCCTGTGCAGCTCCCAGAATGCTCAGGGACAATGGGGTGCTACGGATTGAATTAGTGTTGGCTGTATGGAAGGCAAAAGCCTTAACTCCTGTTCTCTCTTGTTAGATACCAACAACTTCTTTATATACCTTTAGTACTTTAAAGTAAATTCTGAAGAAATTAAGTCTTTTGACCTTATCTCATTTTTTTTCTTAAAACAGTTCTGGATGCTTCTTGGGTTTCAATCCCTCTTTATTGATTTTAAGATCGATTTTTCATACTACATTAACTCTGTAATCACATTGCATGACTTTTTAAAACATAAATTGGTATAAAATTAATGTAAAGATACTGAGTTTTTTACCTAAGAATGTCTATTTTTCTATGTCTTTCAGTAGAATTTCATATTTTTTCCATATACAAATTACAGAATTTTAAAAATTTTAACATAATAGTCTCTTAACAGCTTCAAATTAAATTTTGTAGCTGAACCATGTTGAAAAAAGACTAATAATTCATATATTGTTTCTCAATCAAATCAATAGTCTTCTTACTTCCAAATACTTGTTTATTAATTCCCTTACATTTCTTCAATAGGATCCCCACCCAATTGAAAAAATAAGAAAAATGACTGATGATTTCCTGTATTGGTTGCATTTTCTTTCTTTTTTGGGGGGGTGTGTGTGAACCCAGCAACGCTCTGAGGTTACTCCTGACTCTGCACTCAGGAATTTGACTCCTGGCAATGTTCGGAGGACCCGACAGGATGCTGGGGATAAAAACCCTATCCCTGTACTATTGCTCCAGCCCTAATTCTTGTTCTTTTAAAAAATAATTCACTCAAAATCTTAAAGACTTTTAAAACTTTTTTCCCTCTTATGTAGGCATTTCAGTTTCTTTAGTTCTCTTCTAAATACTTTGCTGCATCCCAGGTGACATCTGAAATATATATTATATGCCTTTATATGTGTGTGTTTATATATATATACATACATATACATATATATGCACACACATACTGCAGGGGTGGGGGAAGTATGTTTTTTTATTTCTATATATCTATGGGGGATTTACTTTGTAATAGTGTTAATTTTTAAATTTCATTGTCATGTTTAGGTGAACAACTATTTCTGTCCTTGAGAATAATTTATTGTAACTTTTGACCTTTCTCTAGATCTTAACCTATCCTGTTTCAGGAAATACAGAAAAGTTTGTTTCACTGGTATATTTGGTATGATTTGAGTGGCATTAAATCAGACTAATGGGTTGTCTTTCACACATGTTTGGTCTTCATTCTAGCATTGCTTTCACTCCTGGTGGGTTCGGGGACCATATAGGAAGCGGGGATCAACCTTTATTGGCTACAATTGCTTTGCCTTCTAGACTATCCAGCCCTCTCAGAGTAATTCTTATAAACATTTCCTGAGCATATAAAAATACCTTTTTGCTTTAAGTTTGTAATTTTGGGGATTTGTTTTGGGGTCACATGTGATGGTGCTCACAACTAACTCCTGGCTCTGTGTCCCTGGTGAAACTCAGAGAACGTTACATTGTGCTGGGAGTCAACTCTGGTTCCGCTGCATGCAAGGTAAGTGCCTTACCTGCTGCATTATCTCTCCAGCTCTGAGTTTGTAATTTTTAGTTCAGTTACTAGTCTTAAATTAAATTTTAGTTTTCTTTTTAACAAAATTCTAATGCTTTTGCTTAGAAAGACATAGAGTAGATGAACAGAGTCCCTGAACAGTTAAAACTTACCATCACATGCTTTTGTTTCTAACATTTGCTCTGGGCACAGATGTTGATTCTCGAGTTCCTGTATAATCACTGCTCTGGAACGAACCTGTATTCCGCCAAAGCCTAAGTCTTCACCATTCACACAGGTGAGCTGACACAGACTCCACGATGACCAGTCCTTCAGATAACAGTCACCTATAAAACACAGGTTTGAGATTTATACCTTTACCTTTAAAAATAGCCATCAGACATTTTATGTTTTTATCTCACTAATATGTCAAAAACAGTAATAACAAGTCTCACAATGGAGACAGTAATAGTGCCCGCAAATCGATGAACAATGGTAGGACAGTGCTATCCACTGTGAACACTATTTTTAGGTATATTATTATAACACAAAATGCAGAGAAGCACTGATTTGTGAGTTAGTATAGAATTTATGTTTCATATAGGTTTTTTTTTTTCTGAGTGGATGCTACTGGTTATAGACTTCAGTGGTTCAAATTATTAAAAGCAGCGCCTGGGGAGATAGCTCAAAGGGCTAGATTGCATGCTTTGTATGCGGGAGCCCCAGGATTGATCTCAGGCACTGCATGGTTCCCTGAAGCACTGCTGAGAATGGTCCAAAATAAAGAAACAAAAGATATAAAAATTAAAAGATGGCTTGAACTTGTCCATTATGACTCCCTTCCTCTTGAGAGAGAAAATATTTAATTGAAAGTCCCCACTGCTCTGTTATGATCACTGTAATGGGAATTATTAAGCACTTGTTAGCATTCAAAGTAAATTAAATATACAGAAAACTTCTTGTCAAGGTATTCATAAATTCAAGAGTTTTAAGTTCAAGGCCTAGAAAGCTGGCATTTATGTTTTATTCATTTCTTTCCAGAGGTGTAAGACTGTCAAGTGAACAGCTGCAAGTGAGGCAGTTATGCAAGTCAGTTCCTTTGTATTAAACAAATTTCCAATATGTTTAATTTGTATTAAAAATTCCCTTAAGCTATTGAAGAATAATGATCATATAAATGGCTAATAGTGATTTTTCACACTATGATTATATACCACTGTAGCCAACATCCTGATCAAGTGAAACCCCTGTCATGATACATATGAAATTGTGCCTTCTTATATGTGAATTCTTTTATTAATTTATGTTAGAAAGTGAGACAATAATATTTTCAGATAACTGCACTAATGATATCAGATACCTTTAGCATAAGCTACCCATGACATACTCGATATGCCAAACACAGTAACAACAAGTCTCACAATGGAGACATTACTGGGCCCGCTCAAGCAAATTGATGAACAATGGGAGGACAGTGCTACAGTGCTACAGTGCTACCTTTAGCATGAATAATTCATTTTGCTTTATATTACGTGATACAACTAGATTTCATAGTTTTAATTTGTGCATCTCTAATGTTGTGCTCTATTCTATAAAGTTCACCATAATGTGGATACCTGTCTTTACTACTATAAATACCATTACGAACATTTTAGTGCAAATGTTTTGGTAAAATTTTATACGACTTACTATTGGGCATATACCTAAAAGTGGAGTTTCTGTGCTAGAGTCTATCAAATATTCAGCATCTTCAATAATTTTGATAAAATAAAATATGTAATAAATTATACCAATCCAGTCTTCAAGACTGGTGTTTTTTTAAAAAGGATATAGTAAATTTTTGTAGGCACAAACTTGTAAGGATAGGGCTGCAGTGATAGTACAGCAGGTAGAGCACTTATCTTGCATGTAGCTGACTGGGATTTGATCCCTGGCACCCCATATGAATCCCCAAGTCCCTACAGGAATAATCCCTGAGCATAGCTTTGCAAGGGTTTCTTATTACTTTAATTTAGTATGTCACATAATATAAGGCAAAAGAAATTATCCATGCCAAAGGTATCTGACAGTAGCATAAAGTTATCTGGAAATAAGATTAATTTAAAAATAAAACCCTTTTGGATGAATTCATGAAATTTACATACAAGTGGTACTACATGGAAAGTATCATGCTAAAAGAAATGAGTCAGAAAGACAGGGACAGCCATAGAAAGATTCATTCATCTGGGGAGTATAAAGTACTAAATTGGGAGACTAACACCCAACAATGGCTGAGATAAGTATCAGGAGGTTCACTCCATGGCTTGGAGGTCAGCCACACATGCTGAGGGAGAAGGCAGCTCAGATAGAGAGGGGAGCACCAAGTAAAGGGTGTTGGGAGGACCCTCCTAGGATGAGAGATTTATGGTGAAAATAGACTATAGACCAAACATGATAGCCACTCAATGCCTCTTTTGCAAATCACAGCACTCAAAAGGAGAGAGAGAACAAAAGGGAATGCCCTGCCATAGGGGTGGGGTGGGATGGAGGGGTTGGGGGGGTTGGAGATATGCTGGGAGCATTGGAGCTGGGGATGGGCATTGGTGGAGGGACGGGTACTCAATCATTGTATAACTGAAACCCAAGAACAAAATTTGTAAGGTCAACAACTGTACCACATGGAGTTTGACTAATAAAAAATTAAAAAAAAAAACACCCTTTTGGACTTGAGAGGTGGCCTAAAAAGCTAGAGCGTATGCCAGGCAGGCATGAGCTGGGTTTGACCCTTAACACCACAAAGTAACTTGAGCAAAGAAAGAAAAGATCTACGAGTTATCACTAAACACCACTGAATTTGGCATAACACATACAAACAGAAAACACCTAAAGGCATGATTAAGAAATCTGAATTATTAACAGAGACATGTGTGATAGTAAAGTTATTTCTGAACACTGTATTATAGTATGTCATTAAAATTAGCTAATGTCATATTGAATTACAGAAAATTCTAGCAAATAAGAGATTTTAAGTAAAAAGTAACAACTTTTAAATAGATTAGACATGTCTTAGAAACATTTTTATCCCTTAGGAATAATACTTTGGGTTACTCAGCTTTTAGCCGCTCAGGAGAAACTATTAGAATTGAGATAAATTCCTTTCAATATGAATTATTTCACTCCAGTGATCACAAACCATGTGGAGAAGTACATATATTTTTAGTGCTAGCAATTACTTCTATACTCTTGAGAGTATACTTTGCAGCAATACTCAAAACATCCTTTAATGCTAGTATGAATTACAGAACTATTACCCCAAATCAATCTATGCCAAACTTCAAAGATTAATAGTAGTGAATGAAAGGCATTATCTTGTGCTGAACACACTCTATTTTTACTATGAAAGTCATTATAATAATAAACCCATACTATGTCTATCCAAGATATAATTAAGTGCATGAAATGTATTTCCTACTTCATTCTTCTACTCTTCAAAGCTTATTTTCTCACATACTGCTAGCTTCCACACTCCGTTATTGGAGAAAACCAGCAAGACAGAAATTGGATTGTAACTTATGAAGAGCAACCCTACAGATTTATAATTGATTTAATTACAATTACAATGATATGTTAGATTCTAGTCTGTTCTCTATTATTATGAGATATTACTTTCCTTTGCATGATTTTACTACAACAGAACTCAAACTTACGTTTAATGATGTTATGGTAAAGTTAGTCATTGGGTCTTCCTTTATCTTTTTGGTTTTGGGGTCTCACTCAATGTTGCTCAAGACTTATTCCTGGCTCTGCACTCAGGGATCACTCTGAATGGGGCTTGAAGAATCATATGGGGTTCTGGGGACTGAACCTGGGTTGGTAGCATGCAAGGCAAACATCCTATCTGCTGTACTCTCTCCTTAACTCTAGGCTTTTCTTTTAGAAGACAGTGTCAGTTCACTCTCACAGTTATCTCCGACCTTGAGCACAACTACCTTGAGCCCTTCAACTACAATATTCAAGAAAAAGCAAAAAATAATGGGGGTAACCTTTAGCCTAATGTTACACAAGGGTCAACTGTATATTCCAGAGTCTTTATATATTATAACTAAGAAATTTTAATCTGTCACTTACATTGTATCTGCTATAATTCTAGTTGGTTATAGTACAGTTACAGATAACCTGCTGTTTTTTCCTAAATGTTTAGTTATTGATTATTTAGCTGTACTTCCTGTTTTACTACAGTTAAATTTGTTGATTCTACTCAGGATTCAGAGTAAGCTTTCAATATTAGGAGTTGAATCTTTCAGTCATTATGTGTTTAAATATTGCCTCTCAACAAAAGGATTACTCATCAATGTTAGTGATAATGCAAATTTGCCCATTCTCTATATAAAGCATTATGGAGAGTTCTGAAAACAAAACTAACATTATCTAGCATTTTTATTACTAGCTATCTATCTGAAGAACACAAAAAGATCAATTAAAAATATATATATCTACTCACATCTAAGTTGATTGCAGAATTACTTACAGTAACAAAGATTTGGAAAACTTAAGTGCCCAAGGACAGATGAGAAGAAAAAAAGAAGTGGCAATATAAACAATAAGTACTACTCAACTGTGACAAAAGATGAAATATTGCTTTTTACCCATACGGATAGAATAAATGGCATCATGCTAAATGAAATAAGTCAAAAGCAGGCCAAATAGCAGATGAGTCTATTTATATGTGACATATAAAGAAACTAAGCAAGGGAAAAGAAAGCTTTGAACAAAAGCAAAACCTTATACTGAGATGACTGACTGCTATGGGTGAGTGAGTGGGACGAACCGGTCCAGTGGAAAGGAAATTGGAACTTTGGTGGTGGGAATATGTGGGGAAAATGGTACCTTAAAACATACAAATAAATATTTGCAAACCTCATTGAAGTTGTTGACCTCAGATTAAATTAATAAAACATGCTGCCTCTTCTATTTTATTTTTTTCCTGTTGGAAATTTTAATTAGATGCAAACCCTATCCTTATTTTCTCAACTTTTATACCTTTCCTGTCAACCTTAACAGCCACCCACTGCAGTCACCCTTGCAGAAATTAAAAAACTCCTGGGGCTGTGTGCCAACAAAGGTTACATGGAGATCAGGACTTTATCCCCATCTGACAGGATGAAGACATCCTACCCACACTTCATAGTGCCTTACTGATGACACAGGGTTTTCCCCAGTGAGAAAATCGGTCAATATCCTTAACTTATGCTATATACGTAGACTGCTCCTGACCATGATCTTGTTAGGAAATGATCAAAATATTAATTCTGTTCTGCTATTGTTACCTGGGCAAGGCTGAGTGCAGCTTTCCTCAAGAACTATTTTCTTATTGCCGTTTACGGTGGGTTCAATGTCAGCACAGAATTCTTCATCTACCACTTTGCTGAAATCGTCAGTTGACCCATCACTCACTACACAAGAAATGTTTCTGGTTCTGGTTCCTTCTCCACAGTGGGCATCCTGGAATGGAGGATCAAGTAACTAACTTGGAAAATAAAAATAAAGCTTTAGTGAGTTCATCACTTACAGTCATCTCTGCACCATTGATTTTGATTTATGAGCAGTTAGAGAAGCTGTTGAAACCCTAGGGAAGAAGTCCTTTAGGGCACTAGCTACAAAGCATACAATGTGCAATTTAGTTGTTTTCTAGCTAAAGACAGGCAAATAAATTTTCATTAACATGAATCGTCTCCAAATGACTGTACAAATACAGGACAAAAAGTATTTGTTATAAAAATGAATTAAGCAGTCATGTAATGCCAATACACTAAAAATCTTTTAGAAGCCATCTGTAAGCTTTGAAAAATTACTCTGAAGCCACATACTGAATATCAATTTAAAAAATCACATTTCTATACCATCTTCTGGAGATTTGATACCTGTACTTGACATGGAGACCATTGGCTGTATTGCCACTGATAACATGGCTTCACTGGACAAGGCTTAGACTGTTCCATTAGGGCTGGGCATGGTCTTCCATCACCCTGAAAGGGCTGGGTCACTGTTCGTTTCCGGATCATTTTTCCTTGAACAGATACAAAAAAAAATAACAAAAAAGCAATGTGAGGGACAGGTTCCAGTTGTGTCAACATATGTTATTTTGAGAAAAAGTCTTACATATATCTTTTTTGAGGAGATATTTTCAGAAAAAGATCTTAAATCTTTTCTTAAGGAAATCTTTCCTTCCAAGTAAGGCTTAACTGTGTTGGAAAGACATGTCCCTCTATTTTCCAGCCACCCAGTCACCCAAATTCAACCTTCCTGAAGGAAAGCCAAGGTGAATTAGAGCAAATGAGACATTTTCATATTACTTGACCAGCCACTTCATGCTAATTAAGCTACAAAACCAACCTGTGAGGCCACAAGTTTGAGAACATTCTGACCAAGGAGACCAGTCAGAAAGCTGGCAATTCACAGGGCACTCCACCATGCAGGAGGTGTTCATCTGCCAGTTCTTCTCCAGGCCGAGCTGAAAGAAAAGAGGAAGGTGTGACAGGGGCCATGGCCATAATTAATCCTGAGTACTGAGCCAGGGGTAAGTCCCGAGCATCACTGGGTGTAGCTACAAAGTGTAAAACAAAAAAAAAAAAAAAAAAAAAAGGAAAAAGAAAAGAAAAAAAATACCCCTCCAGAATATTAGAATACAAAGCTACTTTAAAAAAAAACTTTTGGGGCATGCTTAGCTGTGCCCAGGATTTCCTCTTGGTTCTGTGCTCAGGGGATCACTCCTGGCACGGATCAGGAGGCCATATGAAGAGCTAGGGAATAAAACCCATGTTGACTGTGTCCAAGGCAAGTTCCAGGTCTATTGATACTATCCCTCCAGTTCCTAATTTCAAGCTTTCACAGAGATTTTTCTCTTCTAAACCTGATATTAGAACTTAGATGTGGTTTAATTTACCGACTTTAAAATTATTGGCTCATGTAATAGTGTGCTAAGTTTTAGCATTGGGTTCCATTAGTTATCATTATAAGTATTCTTTAAACTATGAGTTACAGGGAGCCCGAGTGATAGTACAGTATAAAGGATGCTTGCCTTGCACATAGCTAACACAGGTTTGATCTCTGGCTCCCCATCTGGTCCCCTGAGCCCTGCCAGGATTGATTCCTGATTGCAGAGCCAGCAGTAAGCCTGAGCACAGCTGGGTGTGACCCCCCAAAAACAACAAACAAACACTATGCTAACAAACACTGTCCTCTCATTGTTCATCGAGTTGCTCAAACGGACCCAATAATGTCTCCATTTTGAAACTTGTTGTTACCGTGTTTGGCATATTGAATATGTTGCGGGTAGCTTGCCAGGCTTTGTTATGCGGGCGAGATACTCTAGGTAGCTTGCCAGGCTCTCCGGACGGGCGGAGGAATCGAACCCGGCTCGGCTGGGCTGGCAGCGCCTAAGGCAAATGCCCTACTGCTGTGATATCGCTCCAGCCCAACACAACAAAATGAATAAAATAAGTTATGCATTTTCAAACTCATATACTATATGTTCAAACTTTAAACAGTTTATGGTACAAAGAGGTACTGAAAGAAATTTAAAGAGTTTATTAGGGAAACACAATTTTTTAAAATTGTTAATCCTTGTCATTTTCAAGGAGCGATAGCACAGCGGTATGGCATTTGCCTTGCAAGCCGCTGGCCTGGCCGAGCCAGGTTCGATTTCTCCGCCCCTCTTGGAGAGCCCCGGAAGTTACCAAGAGTATCTCGCCCGCAGGGCAAAGCCTGGCAACCTACCTTGACGCATTCAATATGCCAAACACAGTAACAAGTCTCACAATGGAGATATTACTGGGCCCTCTCGAGCAAATCGATGAACAATGGGAGGATAGTACAGTGGCATTTTCAAAGCCTATTAATTTCTGCATAAAAGATAAGTTTATGATGTTTAGTTCAAACAGCATAAGACAGAAAAAGGAAAAATAATTCTGAATTGTTACATTGCACTTTGGGCTGGAGCGATAGCACAGCGGGTAGGGCGTTTGCCTTGCACGTGACCAAGTTGGCCAATGCTGCCGACCTGAGTTCAATTCCTCTGCCCCTCTTGGAGAGCCCAGCAGGCTACCAAGAGTATCTCGCCTGCACGGCAAAGCCTGGCATGTTACCCGTGACGTATTCGATATACCAAACACAGTAACAACATGTCTCATGATGGAGACGTTACTGGGCACACTCAAACAAATTGATGAACAATGGGAGGACAGTGATACAGTGCTACAGTTAAGTTGTACTTTAAGCACAGTTTTTGGCTTTCACTTATCTGGCCACTATTAGATGCTCTGATTACTTCTTTATGTACAATATCCCTCTGCAGGGACTTCTGTTTTATTCTTATCAATAAGATAAGATCTTTTTATTCTGTTTTATTCTTATCAATATTCTTGACAAAGCTAAGTATCTGATTTAAAAGCTTTATCATATCATTTAAGAAAAGCCTCATAAAGTCCCTTAAAGTCACAGGAGGCTAGAGCTTGGAGTCAAGGTGATATACTAAGAATAATGTTATATTTAAGGATAACAATAGTTTGTTTCATAGAGAGGTTGATGTGCAAACTTCAGCTACTACTAACTTTCTCTGCTAAAGAGAATATCTTTTTACAAACATTCTGAATGTTGACCTATAAAACTTTTAAACTATGTTATTTTTTCCCTTACGTTTATGATATACCCTTTGTTTTCTCTCCTCTTTATCCAACTCTTAATCATTTCATTATATATATGCTTATGTAGCACTGTCCTCCTGTTGTTTATGTAAATAAAAAGAAACATATACAGTGATGAAAGAATAAGAAAGGAAAAATCTATTGTTAGGTCTCAGATAAGTTAATGTCTTAAAAATACCCAAAACAAAATATTATATAAATGCTAGATGGTTTTAACCTCAATTTTCCTCTTTGTTGAGAAATAATGCCACAATTCTTCTTGGCTGTTAGAGAAGCAGCAAGAACGAGCTACTGCTGGTGCAGCGAATGCGGGGTTTGCACATGGAGGTAGGCAATCAATCCAATGTTTAAAAAACACAGCCAGCTTTTCTCAGGGCTATTATTTAATCCTACTGCATCCATAGGGATGGGTAAAATGGGATATGAGTTATTTAATCCAATTCCTGCAGAGGAGCACTGCTCTCCCTGAAGACAATCTTTTCTATAATGTAATGATTTGAATTCTAATTGTCCTTGTGTTATTCAAACACTGTATTTGTGCACAAAAGTGTATTTATCTAGATTACTGGATAATTAAAATTAGTTATGTCTCAGGTTTTTACTCACATTTCATTTAAGAAATAAAGGATTACACCTTTGTCACCTAGTCATATGAGGCATTTAAAAATTGATCTTAGATTATTTGGGTTAAACTTTCAAAAAGTTCTAGGATTTATTCATTTTTATATTTCATTTTGTCCCAGGAGGGTATTTAGGTGTGTATTTGGTCACTAAAGGAGGTATATTTAATCAACTAGAAGTAGACCATAAAGCTTCTTAGGCAACATAACTTAAAAATCTTCATTAATGTAACCTTTAATGGTTACATAAGCACAATATTATTGGTTTTTAGACAAAATGGATTTAATTGTGAAATTTCTAATTAAATCCAAAGTGTGAACAGTTTGTTATAAGATGATATAGATAGCATTTGTTAGCTAAGCAAATTGCCATTTTCAGCTCATCTGAGAGCTTTTCCCCATGGACAGAGATGTAAGAAAGTTAAAGTTAGTTTGGAATGATAAAAATATCAAATGGATTTAAATATTTCCATCTGCAGTTTTTGATTCCTCCGTCCCTCTAGGAGAGCCCGGCAAGCTACCGAGAGTATCTCGCCCGCACGGCAGAGCCTGGCAAGCTCCCCATGACGTATTCAATATGCCAAATACAGTAACAACAAAGTCTCCAATGGAGACGTTACTGGGCCCGCTCGAGCAAATCGATGATCAACGGGAGGGCCTTTATCGTTACCTATCTGCAGTTTTCACACAGGAATGATAAATTAGGAGTCTTCCAGGCTCATAATAAGGCCCAGGATATGTAAGCATTAGTCTTGATCAGAGTATCTGCTGTATCCTCTAAGGTTGCAAGCACCTTCATTTGTGTCTCACATCTATTGAAGGCTCCTGTTTCTCCTAGTTTATATTTAACTCAGTGGGTCTCAGATGTATGAGAAATGAAAACTGTAAGGATAGTGCATGCTTTTTCCATATACAAGTCAGAGATAATAATCACAACATAAGCTGTAGCTTCATGAAAATTAGGAGGGGCACAAAACAAATTTTCTTCATTTCATAAGATCATTATCTAGAAATGATGCTAATTTTGTAAATCAGAAGATTAACAGTATATGAACCTAAAAGATACCAATGACAGCGCCCATTCTTTTGTTTGAATTCCAAGAGCTCTCTAATCCAGACCTGAGTATTGAGACTCTCACAGCTGGGTATTTGATCCTAATATCAAAATCTGCTACCAAACCACATGTGATCAATGTTTAGCAACAGAGAGGATAAATGATGGATCTTGGCAGGTGTCCCAGGCAACACAAAAATTCACACAAAATTACAAAAGATGATGAGTAGTCTGATTAAGATTTATTGCCTTTATTTACCTTGATTACTTATTGTTCCCTAAGCATTACTTTCAGAATAAGCTAATTAACATACCTTTGGTCTCTAAGTAGAACAAAATACAGGAAATTAAGTGTAGAAATCAGTAGGATTGGACAGTGTGTCTTTTCTAGAGAGAGCTTAACAGCCTCTGAATATTGCTGAAAACATCTGCTGGCAACGGGCTGCATGGGGCTCAGGTCACTTGGCTCAGCATGAATTGAAATTATTAGGAATGAGTTTACTCGCAAAGATAAAACATAGCATTCACTCACCTCTTCACAATATTTCAGGTCAACTGACCTGCCATCACTTCGAACACAATCCAGCATTCTTGTTTTAATTCCATTTCCACAAACTGCCTTCTCACTCAGCTGACATGTACTCCAGTCTGAAAGGAGGGGAGCCCATCAGAACAGAAGCTATGCATGAAACAGATTTCAAATGAAACGCTGATGACCTGGATCCCATATTTAATTCACAACTGCTTCTTCTTAAGCCCCACAATCAATCATCCCCCATGCGGAGCATATGGGTCCCAGCTTTGAACATATCAGGAGTCAAATGGAATTGCTGGGGTTGCACATAGCTACAGGGATTATTCTTAAAGGCAGATGTCTACTTGACAATCTTGACAGCTAGGCATTTGGAGATATTGTAAAAATGGCTTTGGCCTGCAGATCAAACACAACCTTCAAACTTTTTGCCTAATATTAGTTGAATTTAAAAATTAAATGTTATTTTTAATTTGGCCAAATAATCATAATTTTACCGTATGATACTTTTATTATAAATCTATATTAAAGTAAAATGGTATTCATTTAGTGTCCATGCTTAGATTATTTTAAATTAGTATGCAAATTTCCTCAAAATGGAGACATTACTGGGCCCGCTTGAGCAAAAAATCGATGAACAGGAGGACAGTGTTTGCTATGCAAATTTCCAAATAACTTCGGCTGTATTTAATTTTTTTTCAAGTCTAACAAAACACTTTTTCTTTGTCTATCCAAGGTAACATAGTATGTCTAAGAGAACTGAGATTACTTTGTATGCTCAAAGGGAATTTCAAAAGCTGAGAAATCCTCAAAAGTCAATATTATTTTATGCCAGTATTATTTTACTACTTCTAGAGTTTATTTCAGAGTGAAAGTTACTTGGAGTGAAAAAACTCAAAGTAAGCTTTAGTATTGTCCCGAGTCACATAAATCAACAAAATCTCTTCCTAGAGTAAGCACCTTGTTCATATATGCTGAGGTTTAAGAACAAAAAGGACTTAATGAAGTGTTTTCTGAAATAATACTTAGCTAACCTTTTTTATTTGTACCCTTTATAATATTGAATTTTTTGTACTCTTTTATATTGAACTAATCACATTTATAAACCGTGACTACACAAAGAATTGTCATCTTAGTATGATATAATGATCAAACATCTAATGAGTAAGAAAAATGCCTTTCAATAAACCTGACACCACTAGAAAAGAGAAATCTTCTTTGCACCTTCCCAAAGTGGGAGAATCACTTAAAATATTCAAAGCTAACTTAAGAACTAATATTTGTGCAATATTTTCATTTCTTTCCTTTTTAAATTCACTATATCTTGATGTTTATAAAAAAGTAAAGCAGATATGTAACTGACCTGGGTTCATCACTGACATCCCATAAGGTTCCTCAAGACCGCCAGGAGTAATTCCTGAGTACAAAGTCAGGAGTTACCCCTGAGCATTTGTGTGGCCCCAAAACACACAAACAAAATAAATAAAGCAGACAATTTTTTTTTATTAAGAATTGTTTCTGGGAGATAAAGGAGCATGACCAAATGAATGAAGATGAACGGTATTGACAGGAAAGTTGACAGCTGACAGACTGAAGTTGAACTTTGTGATCAGATGACTAGCCCGTACCTGTTACATTATAATCATAGTGGAAGCAGTTTTTGTTCAAGTTGCATGGTTCCTTCTCAACAGTATCAGGGCAGGATCTTCCCTCATCGGCAGGTTGTCTGATAGGAACAGCTGACCTTTGCCGGAAGCTGTTCTGATTACAAGGCTGACAAAGAACAAAAGTTAATATTTAGCCACACTGAGTTAGTATACTTATTAGGGAGCACTGGAGCAGGAGTTAGAACATTTGGGTCACTGGTCAACTCGAACAACCTCATCATACTTCAGTTCTTTTTCTATAAAAGTACAGTGTTAGATGATCTTTGATGTCTCACCTAATTATAAATTACTTAAAAGATGATATGTCAAATACTAATAAACCCATCATGTTACACAAACATGGTCATATTAGTATAGATCACAAAGAAAGCAATTAGAATCTACTCAATATAATCTCTCTAATGTAAAAGAAATTGATCCTATAAAAGAAATTTTAAGGGTGACTTTACATCGTACCTTTTAATGACCTTTATGTTCCTAATACACACGTACATATGCCAGCACACAAGCACAATTTAGGACCTAAAACTCTGGACTTGCCATTCTCCCACTGATGTGGTTTTTCTCTGAAGATAATTTTTGATTTTCAAGACCAGGAACAGTAATTTCAAGTCTCATGCTATGGAATTAGAATAAAAAGCATTTTCATAAAACAATTGATTCCTTATTGCAGTTTAACCTATGTCCAGACTGCAAGCTCTACTTTGCTCCTGCTGTATTGTTTGATTACTAATCAGCACCTTTGATAATGTGCTTTAGGAAAGATAGTAAACGAATTTCTCCTTAAAAAGATAAAACGCTTTGAAACATCCCATATGGTATTTCAGCAAATTAATTCTGCTTAGATGGATTTTCCCCTCTGCTTCTGATGCCATCTTGAAAAAATGTATATTTACAAAGGTACATAGGGGTAAGTCAAATTTTCTATATCACAAGCCAGTTATGTTTAAAATGGCTCTCTTTCCAGGATTTTGTAGAAAAGCACATACTAGCTGTTGGAATTCAGAAGCTTTGTATGATTTGAAACTCAGCTGGCTCACCAGGCCCAAAGAGTTAAGAGATAGTGTGTGTGAAAGAGATTCAGTGACACACAGCTTTTGTCTTCCTACTGCTTTTCTTACCAGGTCTTTTGCATTTTAGTGTTAATACTCCTGCTGCTGTACCTCCACTGTGGAAAAGATTATTTCTACGATTTAAATAAAATGGAATGGGCAAAAGTAAAGGATGACAAGAACTCGATACCATAAAATTACATTTTACTGCTGCTTCATTCTTTTCCTCTTTACCTGGAGGAAGTAATTATTATCACTGTCGTTTTTCACATGCTGTGTATCTATATGCCGAAACAAAGGGACCGCATGCTGGGTTAGAAGGATGGTAGAGGAACATAAAGTTTGCAAAAGGTCTAACTCTTCTAGCCTGAGTTGAAACAGTGCTAACATCAAAGGACCAAGCAATAAAAGGAAGTGACTAAGAAAACACATTGCTTTGGTAGTAACTTTTGTAACCAATTTAAACTGTATTTCTGAGAACTTTGAAGTTTAGTAATAAGCAACTGAGCAAGCTCGATAAATAAATGGTTTATCTCACCAAAGCACATCTAGTCCATGGACCCCATTCAGATATCACACAATCCTCTGGGCATGGTAGTTTGCATTCTCTAGAGCCCAGGGGCATCTCTTCTGGGTCACAGAGATAATCCTCTACTTGGTCAGAAGGTCCATCTGCTGTGTTCTGCATGCACCTATAAGAAAACATACAGAGAAGTGAAGGAACCAGGACAATTGCAACCCTGGTTATTATAATTGGTTATTTTCAGGACATCATCGTGGTGTTAATGGGGGGTGTGGTAGAAATGAATGAATGAGTTTATCCATTAAGATATTAAGTTGATCTCTTTTTCTCATCAATACTTGCACTGTTTCAGTATGATTTAAAAAATCACAGTTGATATGTCCCCTTATAATCTTTCAAAATAACTTCCGTATGTCTTTCTCTGAAGAGAGGATTATTTACACTTAGGTGTTTTGGCTGTAATTTTAAAACATAATGTACTTTTTCTTTGGAAGAAAATGATGGATTTCACAAGGAAGGTGATTTTATATCTAATAGCAGACAAACACTGTAATCTACTTAAGAGGGGAGTTTAATCTTACTTTTGTAAGTAACTGATAAAATTTATTAAAACTTTCCATTTAAAAAGTAACAAGGCCTCCTATCTATTAATAACTTTCTAAAAAAGCCAGAATTGTTAAGAGAATTATAATAGTAATAGCAATAATTTTCTAAATGTGGTTATTTGAATCTTCCTATACTTTGACCTTTATATTATTAGTTTTCTTTTAAAAGAATAAATTCAAATATTTTACTATATATCATTTTGCTGTAAGCAGTTATAAAAGGGCTCTTTACTCATATCTTGAGAATCCAATTAATGTGGTTAGACCAGACCTCAGTTTACAGTTAATAATCTCTCTGGGAACTTTCCAAGTAGAATAAAGTCTTTTCCCCTCATCTATAGCTCAGAGAAGGTCAACCAAATTAATAGGTTTGAGACTAGGACTGTATTGCAGGGGATGAAAAGGAAGTCTTGAGCTCTTAAGCCTCTCAAAACCACTGCAATGTTTTAAAGTGTCAGTTGAATTACAATGCTAATTATACCTGGAATCTTTTTTTTAAAAATTTATTGAATCACCATGAGATTGTTACAAGCTTTCATGTTTGGGTTACAATCACAAATGATCAAACACCCATCCCTCCACCAGTGTACATTCCCTACCACCAATATCCTTAGTATACCCCCTCTTTCCATGGCAGACATGATTCCCCATAATTTCTCTCTACTTTTGGGCATTATGGTTTGCAATACAGACCCTGAATCTTAATTTTTCTCAGGGATTTACCAGCAATAGGGGTATTGCATCTTCACAAACACACTCTTCAGAATCACCTTTCTACTAGATAGTCCTGCTGAACTCAGAGAAATGTTTCCTGAATGCACATGCAAAGATTGGAAAAGTTGTTATTGGTCATGTCTTAATTAAGTGTACAGTAAGGAGAAAACAAAATCCCACCTTTGCTTTATTGTGTACATAGTATAAATATATAAACCAGCAAGTATAAAAAACCACAAAGATATATATTTAACTGATTTCATGGCTTAAATAAAAACTAAATTATAATTTTGGGTGGATATTTTTAATTTTGTAGGAAAATGTTCAACCTCTGGTGGCATTTAAAATGCTTTTTTAAGAAGGCACAGAATAGACAGATATGACTATTCGAAACCCAACAGTTGCATTTGCTGCTACGAATAGACTATATTCATGGCCCACCATGTACAAAAATAAACTTGGAAAATTAGTTATTGATCAAGAATTAAGTATTGATGTTCAGTACTCTAGTTACACACATAAACTTAATTTTCATGGTCCATTTTAGCTCTTGTTACATGGATAATATATCCATTTTAAGAAAATCAGAAGAAATTGTAAGGAATTATATAATTCTATCAGTAAGAGAGACTATTGTATATTTAATATTTTAATATTTTTAATTAACATTTAAAATTAATTAAAGGCAAACTTTATGTACTACTGTACCATTTTATAAAGTATATTTGACTATATCCTTCTGCTATTTTTTCCAAGATAAAAAATTTTGATTGTAATATCTGAATTTCATTATTTTTATATCTACAGTTGCTAAATAAACTACAGTGTTGGCATTTATGTTAGTTATAAATTTTATTGATATTATCTGGCATCGGTGACTTTTTATCATTCTAGAAGTATGATTCTCACCCACGAGTTCTCAGGTAAACAAAGGTTGAAAAACCACTACCTTATAATAAAGAGTAAAGAGTTTTAAGACCAGAGGAAGACACTTCAAATTAATCACTTTCTTCAAATTCTTGGCTTTTCTCCTTTATATAGGAGACAGAATTATACCGTAGTAAATTTGAGCTGCATAAGAAATAAATAGCACAGAAGCAGGTAAGAGGAATATATTGGAACCAAATACCCAGCACAGGTGACAATAAGGGGGGGCTGAACTATCTGTAGGTAACTTTTAAAAAAGATAATTAATTTTCTTTTAAATTATTATGTGCTGAATTCTGAAAAAGAAAATCACAGTAAGAAATATCCTTTTTCATGATCACTCAGGATAGGAAATGTGTGCTGAAAGTAGGTAAAGGAACAAATACGACAACCTCTCAGTATCTGTGTTGTAGATCATAGTGCCCAAAAGGAGAGAGGGAGAAAGAGAAAGCACCTGCGATAGAGTCATAGATGAGACAGAGGCAGGTGGCGGGGGGGGGGGGGGGGGGCGGTGCTGGGGAGAGGGGGTAGTGGCAGGAGGGAAACTGGGGTCATTGGTAGTGGAAAATGACACTGGTGGGGGATGGGTATTAGATCATTGTATGACTGAAACCTGATCACGAACAGCTTTGTAACTATACATCTCATAGTGATTCAATTAAAAAAATTTTTTTTAAATATTCTTTCCTATCTTAGTAAATCACTCCTACCACTGCCTCTGATTTGTTACACCATCTTAAAAGTGAAAGAATCAAATAGAATACATTGAAACCTGCCATCTTACAGACTGTCTATCCTAAAACATCACTTAATTTAATCAGGACATTTTGACCTTAATTTTCAGAGGACAATATTAAGAATGTAGATTACTCAATCAGTAATAAACAGGAACATTATTATGAGATTGGAGATGATAATCAATACTGGCTTCTTTCTCTATTTGCATTAAAGATACTTATTGAAAAAAATAAATCAATACGAAAAGTAAATCTGCTTAGGATATGTTTGAAGATGTTAGAAATATCTATTAAAAGATAGAAGATCTATTAAAGATGAAATATGTATATAGCAGAATAAAATTGAAAGAATAGTAGTTCTTTATAATTTTTAACTAACCAAAAAACCCAATGATATTCATAATATAAAAATATTTTTAAATATAAAGAAGAATATTTTCTTATTTCCTTTTCTATGCATTATCTGCCTTTGTCCCCATCCCAGTTGAAAAGTTTCTCAGAGAAAAAACAACTTGAAAATTCCAACAAGATTTTGGAAAAAAAAAGCTAATCATTTTCACTAAAAGGAGTTATGCATGGTATGCCACAGATTAATGATACTAATCTTAATTTGTTCTACTTTCCTACTGAAACTGATATGAATAAGAAATGATTATTCATGTTGATGAATGATGTTCATGCAATGAGAACAATGAAAGAAAAGTATGATAAAGACGGAATCAAAGTTTGAGAAAAATACAATTCATAGAACTCAAGAATAGATAAGCTGAACTAAAATAATATAATAGATACGCAGCATAATATAAGGAGTTAAAAACAAAAAGTTATCAAGTTCCAAGTTAAATAATGGAAACCATCCAGAAAAATGAACAAAAATAAGAAAACTCCAAGATGACTGACTATGGAGAATCCATGAATGTATGCTTATATGGTCACTACAAAATTTACCATGAAACTTAAATTAACTAGAGAATCACACTGGAAACACTGACAGATAAGGAAGAGAAGGATGAAGAGTGAAGGACACCTCCCCAGGAAGAAAATCCCATGGCAAAGGGACACTCTCCAGTTGGAAAGACATTTCTAAGTTGTGGAATTTTGTTGTAGGGGAAGTGAGTTGTGTCAGATACCCAGAAGCCTAATCCTACAACCCTACACTTCCAATGCTGGAAAGAGGCAAGAAATAGTAGGGTGTAAGTAGGGGTTAGAACTATTGAGTTAGCATTATTTTGATAACCCTTTCATAACCAATTGACCATTTCACAACATAATGTATGCTGCTTATCAAACTTATCATAGTAAAGGAGTCATTAGCAGACAACCATTTTCATAACCTGCCTGGGAGATACCTTACTGGATCTCCATACTTAGTAACAGATCTTGAGGGCAAACTCTTGGCAAAAAATCCATCCACTTCAAGCTAAAAACTGAGTTAACTGTGGGCTGAAGGACACTTCCATAAGCCTATCAAACTAACACATCTGGACCCTAGCCAGCCACCCACATATAACTGCTAACAGTAAAGCAGTATATGGAAAGTCAGAAGATAACAGGATATCAAGTTTTCAGTTGGAGTTTTAGCCATTTATAGGTTTTATGTGTCCTGCCATCATACCATAACTATTTATTAAACAAAAATTCCATCCCTTACCACCTTCAGGTCTTGCCATTCCTACAAAAGATGTCTGCATTTCTATATATTCCAATGTCTTTAGAGAGCTGCAATTTTTGTATTTTGGTCATATATTTTGTATTTTGGCTATTTAGCACTGTAACACTGTCACTGTAATTCGATTGTTCATCAATTTGCTCGAGCGGGCACCAGTAACATCTCCATTGTGAGACTTGTTGTTACTGTTTTTGGCATATCAAATACACCACAGGGAGCTTCTCAGGCTCTGCCTTGCTGATAGGATACTCTAGGTAGCTTGCTGGGCTCTCTGAGAGGGATTGAGGAATTGAACCCGGGTCAGCCGTGTGCAAGGCAAATGCCCTACCCACTGTGCTATCACTCCGCCCATAAAGATATGTCTATGCATGCTGTATAATTTTGGCTATGTATTTTGTATAATTCTAATGAATACTAATGCAATTTAAACTTATTTTATCACAAAAATGGCACTCTCAATTACAATACAAAGACTTCGTCTTATAATGTCTAAGGACTAGGATTCCTATTGATCACCCATATCACATCTTATCTGTTTTTCTATTTGTTCATAACTCGCCAACTACAGTGGTTTTCCACAAAAATTTTAAACCAATTATCTTTTAAGAGAGAGATAGAGAGAGAGTGTGTGTAAGTATTTTACTTTCTTAGAATATTTTTGAAGTATCAAATCTTCATTTCATTATCATTTTTTTGTGCCACTAAACTAAGAAAAGAAAAAATAATCTCAAGTTTGTGAAAATTAAGTAAGAAGAATTGTCACACAATCAGCTATTATGTTCTGGATATTTTTATATTTGTTTTTACTATATATGCCACTCAGCAGTATTAGAAGAAACTGGTATAGGTTAAATGAGTAACAAGAGATGTGAATTTGAATACCAAATGTGCTAATTTACTAAGTGTGTGATCTGGGTAAACTGCTTAGTGTTTCTGAATTTACTCTATACAGTGGCAGTAATAAAACAATTTAATGCGGATTTAGATTCTTTAATGATATTATACACGGGGGTTAATAAGAATCAAACTTTCATTAGATACTACTAAAATTCTGAGAGTGTGAGAGCCACTAAGTTTATAGAAATTGTAGATTTTTAGTAAAGGTAATAGCTATATATCCTTTGAAGACAATGAACGATGGATTTCTGTGGTACTTTGGAGTGACACCATTCGTAGAACTTTCTATGATGATTGAAGTATTACTATTACTTGTGCTGATAGAACAACCATTTACTACCAGTAATGTATCTAGAATGAGTAAACACATGCATTTTAAATTTTAATGAATTTAAATTTCAGGTGAAACACCCACACACAGCTAGTGACAACCCTATTGTACACTGCAGATGCAGACGAACAAATGATCAGTACTGACCAAGTGGTGGTCTTTGGGAAGACTTCTTGGAGATGTGATTGTTCAAAAGTTAGCTGTTCTGATATAAAGGAGAACAAGTTTATGAAAGATTATCATTAGAAATATAAATTTTCCTAAAAGTTATTAGATTGGAAAATCTACTAAATTTACCTTCCAATCAATATGCTACTCTTTCCATACACACAAGAACTTTCGAAGCAAAGCTTATATGAAAAGTTCCGTAGGACAAACTGCTGCATAAAGCAGGACCCCTTTGAGTTTTCCATGAATACAGATGCCTTTCAAAGAAAACCAAAGACAAGCTTATTTGTGATACTGGGGAGGAATGAAAGCTCAGGTCAACACATGTGAAGTGGGCAGTGGTTGCAATTTTACTTCTCTCTATGACATTCAGTTTGGCCTTACCTCACTTTTCGGGTCTGTACGCCCTCTCCACAGTTATCTCGCATGTTCACAAAAGTCACCTTGCACACACTCCATGGTTCTGTGACCCATATGTACTGGTTGCAGTCACTGTGGCAAGGGACGACCTCATATACCTGAAACACACACATACACGGTGGTTTTCAATGATCTCAACTTAGGCAACTCAGTAAGAACGAGTGGGAGCACCACATTAGATAATCATTATTTACTTCCATCCCTTCCTTTATAGGTCAAAATTCTAAGCTTAGAGGGCTCTAGGAACTAGAAGAAATTTTTTAATCATCCCTGTAGTTAAGTGCAGGACTAATTGTATTGTATTTTATTGCTTCTTGTTCACCTTCACCCATGAATCTAAATTGCTGGACCACATTGGATACATGATCTACTTTTCTGTACTGACCCTTACCATAAAATTATAGAATTACAGAATTGCAATTTCCTAGGCCATCTTTCTTGTTCAGTTTTGTCTCTAGTGCCTAGTCTTGTGTGCTCCTATGTTAGTCTCTCATTAGAGACTTGTTGAATAGGTGAATCATTGAATGGATGAATTTAAAAAAATATAACAGCATAGAGAACTTTTAAAAAATAAATACAATTTGGCTTGCTGTCCAAAGAAATATGCATGACAATAAAAATGTATGTTTCAGGCTACCCCATATACAAAGTTAAAAGATAAAAGCATGAATTAAAGCCATCTTAAAGCTAACATCACTAGTGATTTGGAAATAAGGTGTGAAATTGGGTTCAATATCATACTGTGGTAACCCAGAGCCGTTGAGGGTAACATGAGACATAACTAATTCTCTCTCTGGTAACTATTGAAGCTTTTAGCTCCACATTTGAAGGTTGGGCTTGATTCTAGAATTGTCAGAACAATAATCCAATTATGGTCTTTTTTATTGAAAAGAATTGTTAAATAAAAGAAATAGATGGGTGATAATCCACTGCAACAGAGCTGACTGAATCATCAAAGAGCAATATTTTCAAACTATATGATAATCCAGCTCTATCTTCTATTTTGCACACATAACCTATTAGAATATCAATGTTTCTCTTAACTATTTCATTCCAGAATATAGATAGATAGATATAAATTTAAATCTTTTAAAAATCATTATTTTGTGCAAATTTAAGTAGAACATAAACTCAAGTGAATAAATTCTATTTCAAGTAAGAGTTAAAAATATGAATTTGCATTTAGTCTATGATGATAGTCATATGTGATCCCCTTCTCACAGAGTGCTACATTAAAAATGGAACTAGATACTACTGAGTAAAGAACTTCCCTACAAATTGTAGGAATGGAAAATAGAAAGGGTAAAACATGCCATTCTTCCTAATCCTTTGATAGCTTTCACTTGAATCTTCTACAGAGGAGTAAACATAGATCAGTTCAGAGCACCCTCCTGCCACCCAGTTTATTCTCAATTGCGCCTCCCCCTGTCCTCTGGGAGGCACAAGATAAAAAATAAGAGGCGTCATTATCTTTACAAGACTAGTGAAATAGGTTATATTCTTCATTATATTCTCCTCAGGCCCCGATATCAAACTGACAAGCACAGATAGCATGCTGGATGTGTATGTTTGTGTGTGTGTGTGTGTGTGTGTGTGTGTGTGTGTGTGTGTGCATGAGAAGAAACAAAGAAACAAGCAGTACTCTTTTATGAACTATGATGTTTGAATGTTCTTACCTGTGCCTGGAGAAGTTTTCGACAGGAACAAGGAAAACAGAGAGAAACAAAGATAAGCGAAATATTAGAACATTTGATTATAAAAACCCATTGTTTTTTAGGAAACTTTTTAGAATATTTTTCTTAGTTCTTAGGAGGCAAAACATCAACTATTTTGAAGTGGCTTCAAATTAGGATTCACAAATGAGTATTGCATAGCTTACTCAAAGAAATGATTATACAGAGAAAGATGAAGAAATCTTAGGAGACATCAAAATTAAATATCATGGGTAATTGACATATGCCCACAAATATTTTATGATCCAAATTGTACATGAATAGCAATCTTAATCAATATATTTATCTACATTGCTTAGGAATGAGTATCTGATTCCTCAATTGGAAAATGAAGCCTTTGAGACCACTGGAGTCAATGATGATAGATTATTTATTGAGAAATACAGAACTGTTGTAAAAATCTATGGGATTTACAAATTTCAATACTAACATAAAACTACAAATCATTTACTTAATATTGTACTAACATATAAGTTCCTAATTATTGCTTTTGATTTTTTACTTTGTTTAGTTTGGGAGTCCACATCCTGCTGTGCTCAGGTTGTACTCCTGGCTCTATGCTCAGGGATCACTCCTGATAGGCTTGGGGGATTCTATGTGGTGCTGGGGACTAAACCCAAAATGGACACATGCAAAGCAAGAACCTTACCACCCACTGTGCTATCTTTCCAGTACTATTTCTGCTTTTTAATGTAGAGCATTTATATACAAAGTCAAATTCAGGAATATATTGTTTTTTATTTTGGATTTTATTTTTCAGTTAATTTTTGAATACACTATTAATGAGTAAGTAAGTACCCAAATATCACCATCAAACTTTGCATTTGGTTACGTCAGAGAGGAATAGAGAGTTAAAATCATTCCAAAGCAAAGACAACTTGGTAAAATGTCTTAGATCTTCTCATAGCCACTATTAATGAAAATACTAAGGCAAGCACAGTTATTTTGTTGTTGTTTGGGGCCACACCCGGTGGTGCTCAGGGCTTACTCCTGGATCAGGAGAACTCAGGGCTTCTCAAGAATCACTCCCGGCAGTGATTCCAGGCACTGAGTTTGGGTTGGGTGCATGCAAAGCAAATAGCCTATCCAGTGTACGCTCTGGCCCAAACACAGCTTGTTTTAATTTAAGATCTAACTGACTACACACATTTACATAGCCACAAAAGGTCTGAGTATATATTGAACTATATTTAGTACCTTGCAGAAAAACTATTAGTATTAAAACATTTAAAATTATTCCTTTTGAAACATTCAGGGAATATATTTATATTATATAGTAACATTGCACTTGAGTTATCTGTTTCATTAGGGTTGTGGAACTGAATTTTCTGCTTTATTGACAGGATACCTCATTGCCAGTAGATGGCAGCAATGCAATGTAATATTTATTTTCAGTTGTATTTTAGGGCAAATCCTGCAACTTCACTAAGGGAAAAACATCCATATACTTTCAGAGTACTTTCTATGTACACTGAAATTGAATTCTTTATTTTCTTTGTTCTTAATAACTTGATTCAAAATTCCTTTCATTTTCTCTACAGTGTGCTTTCATTGATATGAACTAATTTAGGGTGGGGGGAAAATATGTCTTCTGGTAAGCAGCACTTAATACCCAAGCAGAATGTTTAGAGATTAAAATTACTCAATGTATGTATAACATATTTCTACCTATTTAAGGTATGTTCATACATATAGCTTGGTTCTTATGTTGTGGCTTAAATTTGAATGCACATCTTTAAATCTATATGTGCACCGTAGCAGTGTCCTCTTGTTGATAATTGATTTTTCTTAAGCAGGCACCAGTAACGTCTCACAACAAATTGTGAGGCTTGTTGTTACTGATTTTGGCATACTGAGTACATCACGGGTAGCTTGCCAGGCTCTGCCGCGCGGGCGAGATACTCTCGGTAGCTTGCCGGGCTCTCCGAGAGGGGCAGAGGAATTGAACCCGGGTCAGCCATGTTGGCTGCGTGCAAGGCAAACGCCTTACCCACTGTGCTATCGCTCCAGCCCATCTATGTGTGCATTATGAAATTCATTCTTTATTAATTTACATATGGGCCATATAGTTCATAAATCCCTGTTAGGTGTTCGCAGTATAATGTTAACAACTATTAATACAGCTAACAAAATGTACATCCAAATACAAAGTTCTAAAAAATATTTATTACTGAATAAGTGAAGAATTTCTCTTGTCTTTGAGGGTATATTTATACCTCATTTTTCTTAAAATGCTTTATATTAAATAAATTTAAATGAGTGTGGAGTAGATATTTTCTACTTTTAGATTCCAGACATTATATTTGATTTCCCTTTAAATGCTGGCAATTGAAAATGTCTTTCTGAGAGTCTAGGAGAACTATTAGAAAGATATTTGTCTCAGCATCCAAATTAAAATACAGTTTTTATGAGATTAAACACCTGGACAGTATTACAGAGATATGTTTCATTTTTATTTTCATTGAATTGCATTCTTATGCACATACTAAATCTGAGAATACAGCAATAATATATGTTTTGGGAATTTACTAGGATCATATATTTACTCCTGCATTCTAATGATAAAATGCTTCAAATTTCATCTTCAGAGACTTACTTTCTTCTTCATTTTTGGACAAAATAAAAAGACATCATTATGAATGCAAATAGTAATTTATTATTTTCAGTGGTGTTGAAAATACCTGGTTGACGTGGTCCAGTTTGGGACATGGCCTTCCTCCATTGTATGGCTTTTCACGTAGCCATTTAGACCGAACCTTCACACCACTTCCACAGGACTTACTGCAGCGAGACCAGTTGGACCACTCACTAAGTTTGCAGTCTGAGGGGCAGGGGATGATGCAGGCCTCCTCAATGTAACCTGAATGCAAGAAAATGAGCCAGCAGTCATCTCTACATGTCACTTACCCTCTACCACCTACCACTTCAGCTCATTTAGTAGGTCCAAGTTTGACTTGACAGCAACATGCAAATGCAGAGATGTCTCTGTCGTTAGGGACACAAATTAAACTCTGCAGGAAAATGACACACACGTACAAGCGACTCTGTTAAAATAACAGCTGAACAGCTGCCATATGATCTGTTTAGGATTCACACTCACCATATTTCAAAATTTCTGAGTTTTTGACAGCTCTTGTTTAATTGACAATAACCTGTCTGCTGCCATATAATATCGTTTCCATGCTGCCATTTAAAAAATAACAGTTTTCTATGAAATCTTATCTGTTAACGTCACACAAGTTTGTTTCTAAGTGGATGCAGCATTCTGCTTCAAGAAGACAGACCCTATCAATCAATAATCGAAAGGAATCATTTAATTGAGTGCCTTGTTTCCCCACTTTTGAAAATCAAGTCTAAAGAAGAAAAATAAAGAATCTTTAGTCTTGCTTGAAATTTGTCTCTTAAAGGGCTGTCAATTTTAATGCATATTCACATCTTTCACATTCATTTGATTTGCATGAAGATCTTATAAATGAATTGGGCAGGTATTGATGTGTATATATATGCATTGGGCAGGTATTGATATTGGGAAGATTAAGAAAACATACAGAGAGATGACTGACAAGTGCAAGGTCATATAGTCAGAGTTAAGGATATGTTCCCTGGGCAAACTAGAACTCATTGTACCAACTAATGCAGTCAATTAACTTAATAGTCTAGAGATGATTTGAGGAATGGGAGCATTTTCCTTGAACAGCCCCATATGACCAATCTGACATTTCATGATATCAATTTATCACTATTGTTCTCAAGGTAAATATATAGAAAAGGAAAAATTCCTTTGGTCAAGAGTCAAATACATCATTGTCTTTGTAATACTCTGATATGAAAAGTGTTTTGTCTGGATAGTAGAGAACACTTAACACTTTATATAAACATCAAGGTTTGAGTTTAAAATAATTTCTAATATAAACAATTCATACTGGGGAACTCTAAGTAGATTTTAAAAATTATTGAGATATACCTTCACTGCTGGTGGGAATGGCGACTTGTTCATCCCTTTTGGAAAACAGTATGGCCAATTCTCAAAAAATTAGAAATTGAGCTCTCATTTGACCCAGCAATACCACTCCTGGGAATATAACCCAGGAGGCAAAAAAGTACAGTCAAAATGACATCTGCACTTGTATGTTCATTGCGGCACTGTTCACAATAGCCAAAATCTGGAAAAAATCCGAGTGCCGAGAACTGGCTAAAGAAACTTTGGTGCATCTACACAATGGAATACTATGCAGCTGTTAGAAAAGATGAAGTCATGAAATTTTCATACAAGTGGTTATACATGTAAAGTATCATGCTAAGTGAAAAGAGTCAAAAAGAGAGAGACAGACATAGAAAGACTGCACTCATTTGGGGAATGTGAGGTAAAAGCATGGGAGACAAACACCCAAGAATAGTTGAGATAAGTACCAGGAGGTCTGCTCCACAGTTTGGAAGCTGGAAATACATGCTGGGGGAAAAGGCAGCTCAGATAGTGAAGGGAAGACCAATTAAAGGGTGTTTGGAGGATTCGCTCGGGATGTGAGGTGTGTGCTGAAAGTAGACTATAGACTGAACACGATGGCCACTCAATATCTCTATTGCAAACCACAACACCCTAAAGGAAAGAGAGAGCAAAGGGGAATGCCTTGCCATAGAGGCGGGGGTGGGAGTGGGGGGGATGGGACTGGGGGTGGGTGAAAGGGCTACTGGGATCATTGGTGGTGGAGAATGGGCACTGGTGGAGGGATGGATACTTGATCATTGTATAACTGAAACACAAACATGAAAGTTTATAAGTCTACAACTGTACCTCATGGTGTTTCACTAATAAAAAAAATTATTGATATATAATCCACATACCATAAAAGTCAAAAAGTCAGTCAATACTATAAATTTGATATATTTACTGAGTTGCTCACTTATTCTCACTACCCAGTTTTAGACCATATTTGTGACCTTAGGGCTGTAGTGATAGCACAGTGGTAGGGCATTTGCTTTGCACGCAGCCAGCCAGGCCGAGCCGGGTTCGATTCCTCCGCCCCTCTCAGAGAACCTGGCAAGCCACCGAGAGTATTCAATATGCCAAACACAGTAACTAGAAGTCTCACAATGGAGACATGACTGGGCCCGCTCGAGCAAATAAATGAACAACGGGAGGACAGTAACAGTGACAGTTGTGACCTTAGACAGAAGTTCTCTACCTTAATATCTTCTCCCTTTCCTGGAGAGCCAGGCCGATCAGAAAGCATGGCAAGCTACCAAGTGTATCCTGCACAGCAGAGCCTGGCAAGCTCCCTGTGGTGTATTCGATATGCCCAACACAGTAACAACAATGGGTCCCATTCCCCTGACCCTGAAAGAGCCTCCAATACAGCAGTGTTGGGAAAGATGAGTAAGGAGAGCCTGCTAAAATCTCAGGGCTGGGATGAATGGAGACGTTACTGCACCCGCTCAAGTAAATCGATGAACAACAGGATTACAGTGATATCTTCTCCTTTATCTTCCATTCACTTGTAACAATCTGCTTTCTGTTGCTAAGAATGAACTAATACAGGACATTTTATAAAATGAAATCAAACATCATGTGGTCTTTGGTATTGACTTCATTCACTTATTAGATTTCAAGACTCACCTATGCTACAATATTTGTTAGCAATTCATCTAAAATCATTGAATAGCAGCATATGACATGGATATATCATATATTGTTTATCTGTTAATCAATAGATAAATATTTTAGTTATTCTCCATTATCATAATATGAACAATGCTGCAGAAAATATTTGCATACATGTTTTTGTGAACACTTCTTCAATTTTTTTAGGTTTATACTGGGTGTGGAATTCCTGGGACCTATAGTTGCTTTTTATAATTTTGAATAAGTTCCAAACTGTTTTCCAAAGTGCCTATACTATTTTATAATACCATTAGCAAGGCCTGAGTGTTTCCATTTTGTTATTTGTCAGAACTTGCTATTATCTTGTTTGTTTGACTGTCCTTTAAATTGTAAATACTTTAAGTAAATAAAATCCCCCCACGCCCTCCACTGGGGTTGTTTTTGCTTTGATGCCATATTTAGAAAATAATTACTTGATTCCAGGATATAAAGATTTACACTTAATCTTGATTCAAGTAACTTTTATAGATTTTTTTCTTACTTTTGGATATATATTTATTTTAAAATAATTTTTATGTGATAAGAGGCAACTTTATTGTTTTGTATGTGATTTAAATAGTTATCCGTGATTCATTTATGGCAAAAGCTATTCTTTCTTCATAAATTGTTTGTGCCATAAAAGTTAATGTCTGGACTATAGAATAATTCTATTGATCTCTGTGTCTAGCCTTATGCAGTACCATACTGTCTTTTTTTTATCAGTTATTAGTTACTTTGCAGTATTCTTTGATATTTGAGAATGTAAGTCTCCCTGCTTTGTTATTTTCAAGATAATATTTACTTCTATGGTCTCTTTGCATTTCCATTTGCAATTCAGCATCAGTGTGTCAATTTATGCAAAAAATTACAGCATAGAATTTGAATAGCAGGGGTTTCAAAAAGGTATAGAAAACTGCTTTATCAGTTAGCGAGACTATTATCTTAACAATTCATGTACATGGATACCCCCATCTTCATTGATTTAGATTTCATTTTTTGTTTTGTCTTGCTTTTGAGGGACACTTGACGGTGCTCAGGGCTTAGTCCTGGGTCTGATCACATATGGAAATGCCTGGAGTTGAACCTTATCAACTGTGTGTGTAAGGCAAGTACTCTATCCACTGTACTATCAGTCCAGCCCCAATTCAGATATCTTTAATTTCCTGTTTTTCTGTTGTTTTAGTTCATAGGTGGCTATGAAGTGCTGGAGACTGAATTTGGATCAACTGTGTGCAAGGTAAGCGTTATAAGCCCTGTACTAATTGTCCAGCCAGGGTTTCTTTAATTTCTTTCAATGATAAATTTTAGATTTTGGTGCCTTTATCCTACACTTCTTTAGTTAAGTTTATTCTTAAGCATTTTATTTTTTTATCCAGATATTTTTAAAATAGAATCAACAAGTATAATTTTTAAAAAAATTGTAGAGAAATAAAACCATAAAAAAACAATATAACAAATTAAATCCAAGAGTTTCTGCCCAAAGTGTACTGAGTTGGAAGTGCTAAACAGCTAGCCAATTTGCACTTAGTATTTCTTAGTCTTGCATCATTATACATTATACATTATCTGCAGCATAAACTGCATAAGCTAAAGAATAGGTTTGTAGCAATAACAGGCATTATGATTCAGTTGTAGGCTCTGACTTTTGGACATTAAAATACATCTTGTTTATTCCGAACATAGCTTAATTTTTAAAATCAAGTTAATTGTGGATCCGCACACCACAGTTGTAAGAAACAGTATGAAGTATGTTCGTATATACCTTTCCCAGTTTTCTCCCTTGTTATTGATAGCATGCTTTCAATTAATATTAAGACTGATACAATCCATTGTACTTATTCAGGTCTTTCCCACACTCGTTTATATGTGTGAATGTAGAACTGACATAGGGGAAAGCTGTATGACATAGGCAACAAGTAAAACACTGGACAAGAAATAGTTTTGTGGTATATTTTTCTATACACTATCTTACACTTTTGTCAAAGATATGCAACATTACCTGCATTAAATATACTTTATTCTACATACACAAAGTGTGTCTTTCATAAGCAAAATACATGAAACTCTTCATATCTCTTATTTGTACTCCTTTCTAATCACTACCCCATTCTCACTGGGCTGCCACTGCCAACAATATTCAGAATATAGAATTTGTATGTTTTAGAGTTCTTATGTAAAATGGAATTATATACTATATATCCATATGTGTTAGACTTCTTTAC